AACATAGGTCCAAAGCTGGCAAATGAAATACCACCAGTTAATTCTGACTTTACAGAATATTCAGGATATAGAACAGAAAAATCACTATTTTTTAAACCAATAACAGAGAATTAATTGAAAGGCCACTTACAGACTTCAGATACAAAAAAAAGCATGTGGATATGATAATTTGCCGGCAAGATTGTTGAGGGATGCTGCCCTATACATTTCAAGCTCATTAACATATATTTTCAATCTTTCCATAGAAAGAGGTAAATTTCCAGACGCTCTGAAAGTAGCAAAAGTGACACCTATTTATAAAAAAGGGGCGAAAAGATCTAGCTGGTAATTACAGGCCTATTTCAGTTTAACCTATACTGGCTAAAATCTTTGAGAAAATAATAAATAATCGTGTAATTGCCTATTTGGAAGTAAATAATATCTTGTTTCAACACCATTATGGTTTCCGTAAGAAACATAGCACTAAGTTTATCTTTGATTAATCTTGCAAAGATACTATTGAAATACTTTGATGAAGGTAGAACAACAGTTGGCATCTTTATTGACTTTCAAAAGGCATTTAATACTATAAACCACAGCATTCTCCTAAAAAAAATGTCACATTATGGAATACGTGGGTTAGCCTTGCAATGGTTTGAAGATTATTTGTGTAAACGATCACAGTTTATACAATATAAAGACAAAATATCTTTGAAGTTGAATATAACATGTGGTGTCCCTCAAGGCTCCGTTCTTGGACCAACATTATTTTTACTATACATAAATGACTTACCTAACTCCACAAATTTTTCAGATTATTTGCTGATGACTCAAATCTTTTTCATACTTTTAATCCTAGAAAAAAAGAAATTGATTTAGAAATTGTAAGTGGAAATTTAATGAAGGTGCAGGAATGGTGTAATGCAAATGAAGTCACAATTAACCTACAGAAAACAAACTATATGATTATGAAATCCAAAGGTAGATCAATAGACAAAAAAGGATATGTGAGAATATCAAGATCAGATATTAGTATCTATAAAGAGGTATCCGTTGCATCATTTGTAGGAATTGAAATTGATTGTCACCTTTCATGGAAAGAACATATTCAGACAATAAACAATTGCATAAGAAAGAAAGTAGGTATTCTGTTAAAATTGAGACATTATGTTCCCAAGAATATACTTGTGTTATTATATAAGGCGTTTATACAGCCTCATCTCTCTTATGGAGTAGAAGTATGGGGGAGCACTTACAAAAGTAATCTAAATTGTATATATTTAAGTCAAAAAATTGCAATGAGAGCAATTACATTCAGTCCACTTAGAACAGACTCCAAACCTCTTTTTCAAAGTCTAAACATTTTAAATATTTTTCAACTTCATGAACTTCTTGCATCAAAATTTATGTACGATTTGGTAAAAGGTGTTTTACCACACTCTTTGGTGGATTGTTGTCAGATGATACAGCACAGATATGCAACTAGGAGAAAAGAAAGTGGCTTACTCTATCATCTAAAATGTAAGACAACGGAAGGGCAATTTTGTATTTCGTTTGTAGGAACAAAGCTGTGGAATGATCTCCCAGATGAAATTAGATTAAAAACATCAAGGTTATCTTTTCGGAGACATCTTTCCACTTACCTTTTATGTAAATGACGTGGGCTCAATCCCATCCCCCTCCGTTTTTCCTTTTATTTTACTTATCTTCCTTTTATATATGTATACACTTGCTTGTTAACGATTATAGCTGCCTTAAGCTTTTACAGGATTTGTGCATGTACGCACATCTGTATGATTATTTTTATTAATACATCCTTTCCATTTTCATGAACTTATTGATGATTTTATTTGTTCAACGATTTGTCTTTTTTCATTATAATGCTGTAACACTTAAACTTTTTTCTTTTTTCATTTTAGTATGTAAAAAAGTTGCATGATACTGTATTATTTTGTCGTATATATGTAAATACAAAACAAACAAATTTTTCATTCATATGTATGAACAAATTAACAGAAAAAAATCTTGCCAAAGAATGGAACTAGGATCGACTAGCACTTGTGCTAACTTCTAGTTCCCATTAACAACTTCACCTTACTATAGTAATACACATATTTACGTATATATCTTTTGTACATTTAATAGTATGCATATGTATGTCTAAATATCGTTTTAAAACCATTACTGTTCAATCGACATTACTCTTATGTTATGTATACATGTATCAGTATCATTTTTGCATTGTATGATTTTTCATATGTACTGTCATTATTGTGATGTGTTGTTGTTTTTTTTAAATCAAATTTGTTAATAAATTCAAATTCAAAAGGATTACGTCACAATCGACTGACCTCAATGCCAATTTGAGATTTACTTGGATTTAGTGATGACAAATTTATTTAGCATTCATAGCTCTCTTTTTTTTGGACAGATTTATGGAAAACTTCGCCCTTCTGTTTCTCTAAATTTTCTGCTTTCATATAATAAACTAATTAAAAAGGTTAGATTATCTTTTAATTTATTTCTTCAAATATTTCAAAAGTTCTTTGGACATCCATTATACGAGATTTTCTTCCAAACATAACAACCGATGAAAACAATCCCGCCAAAAGGCAAATCAGACATGTTTTCCTGATAAAATAAAAAGGGGAGATTTTGATTGTATTCTACGAAATCGATTGCACAATTTCTTTGAACGCTTGGGGGAAACTAGCTTCATCAGGAAATGTCTGAATATGTGTTTGCCATGTCTATCTAGTGTTCAGAGACACATTTTGATCACGTTTTTAAAACTTTGCCTAATCTAATATCTCTTGACGGTGAGCGACCGTTTTGATGGATAACAGTAACAATCGAAAGCGTTTACACTTAAAGAGATTAAAAAGTTGCCTGACTCCATTTTCAGTATTCGTCTCAAATGGGGAGTTAGATGAGTGGAAGAATGGATGGCTATAGAATGAGGGAATGGGGTAAAAACCCGGAGGTTGCTCATTTCACCAATGACATTGTAATAAATACATTCCTATGGGAAGCTGTTTGAATCTCAATGATATTCAAGTCACTTGAGGGCGTATAACACTCTCCAGTCCTCGATTGGCATGCAATCGGGGTGTGAATTTGGAGAAACGCATTCATGAATACCAGCGTATTTGATAACAAACTCATACTAGACGAAGTAAGATGTAAGGAATAAGCAACTTGATCATCTACCTGATGCAAGGTGAAGTGGTATAAATTAAAAAATGCTCTTGGGATAGCAAGCGTGTTTTTTTTCAGTCATCCTTAGTCTAAATTTGACATATGCATTCCACTAGCGTTAGGGTTAAATATGCAGTTGCCGTAATATTCATATAATCATTAAATATTTAACGACAATTATAAGCAGAGGTTATAAGATAAGAGACAGGTGGGAGATAACTTGATAACAATATCACCTGTTCATCTCTCCTTACAATTTCAGAATTTATTTGTACACGTGCCCCAAATCAATTAATCATGCATTATTTTCTTTAATGCTCCATACTAATGTTTCCTCTTTGTTTTCTTAAATAGGTGTTGAGTGAGAACGGTCATGAGCAAGATGTAATGTTTACTGGAGGAAATTCCTTTCTTGCATTAATCATGCATTGTTTTCTGTAATGCTCCATACTAATGTTTCCTCTTTGTTTTCTTAAATAGGTGTTGAGTGAGAACGGTAATGAGCAAGATGTAATGTTTACTGGAGGAAATTCCTTTCAATTTAGCGTGCTAGTACCATTATCAAGGCATTACTCATCAACGATATAATTCATCAGAGAGTATGTCAGTTACTGGGTTACTCTGAATCACTAATAGTAGTTTAATTTCTTCCATTTTTAAAGATTCCATAATCACATATTCCATTGAACACAGAAATAATAATAATAAATTAAAGCCATCTAAATACCTTTCCAAATGTGGGACCAATCTTGTTTACAGAAATTCTATTAAAATGCATACAATCATATCCATTGAACGCAAGCTGAATACGCGAGAATCATGCATGTGAATAAGTGGAAGGTGATGTAGAACACACGTTAGACAATAAACAAAATAAACAAATATGAGAAAATATTCAATAAAGTTCAGTTTCGAGACGAAAATAATAATAATGATATAAAAAGTCAACTATAAAGTGCATTTCCAAATTTTTGATAATACCTTGTGTGAAGATGTTTCTATTTTGTGCAACAAATCTCGTAGAGTTTGTTCGTTTGGAAGATTTCATTCGTACAACTTGGCCAGTCATCAGGTTATTCAGGACATCTAAGATGAAAGTCGGAAGGCGCGTCTGAGTCGCTATGCTGTACACACATGGAGCAAAGCGACCGGAAGCGCCCTCGGAACTTCTTCCGGGTCATCAATATCTACTCGTCTACGTCGTCTATTATGCGCTCTTTTTCAGTTACGTCACTGTTTCCGTCACCATTGTTAATATGTTTGATTGTTTCCTCGACTGTCGCTACCATATTTATTTTTTGAAGCGCTCGGCTTGAAATTAATCTTATTTTCCTTTTTATATATATTTTATCGCACAGTAGAGGGTCGATTTAATTTCTTAACTAACTTCCTCTCACTTTTACAGATTATGATTATTTTTCTAATATTGGGAAAAGTAGTAGCAGTGTAGTAGCAATAGAAGTAGCATTACACTATTGTAGTAACGGCTGTGGTTGTGGTAGAAGTAGTATTAGTAGTAATAGTATTTCTAGAAGTAGAAGAAATAGTAGCGGTAGTTATTGTATATGATTTTTTAAAAATCTAAACTCTGTATTAGCCTCGAACAAGGCCCACGAATTTGTGTAGTTTACTTTAATAAGTATGATAGTTCATACAACAAAAAAGAAACGATATATCAAATATAATTTTGAATCTTGTCATAGAATTATTTCCTAATTATTCACTCCATCCTGATAAGAATGTTCAGCAAGAAAAGTTTATTTTTTAACCGTTAAATTGATGACATTTTTCATTTTTCATTTTGTTTTTTACAGATAAAAGGGATTACAATCCAGCAGAAGAAATCGGTTTTTCTGTACAAAAAAAGACACAAGAGGTGATTATTAAAAGTATCATATTCTTTAATATTTATGTATTCATTTAATCCCAAGACAAAAAGAATGAAATGTGTAGAAACTAATACATAATGCTCAATATAGAATATGTTGTTTTGAGTAAGCTGTAATTTTTACATGCTCTTCTTTCTTTAAAATGCATCTATATCTTACAAGAAGTATGAGTATTTGGTAAGATTTCAGATGAAATGGAGAAAGTCGTACCGCTGAAAAACAACCATTGTACTGAGTCATAAGAATGCTATTGACATAAGTTTGTTAAAGGCGTTTTTTAACAGTTGAAATCAAATTCATTGGGTAATGGAATGCAAAGCAATGTAAATTTTGGTAATGTTGCGCGAGCTCTGTAATGATGTTCCTCTCATTATTATGATAAATCAGTAATCTTAAACAGATCTGTTCGGATGTAACTCCTATTTTCATATTCCTATTTTTTCTTTCCTACACAGAGATAATTATGATTAACCCATCTCATTTCCCCGACCATGTTAACATTTCTAATTAGTATACCTTAAAGGTACTATGTCCCATTTGCAGGCCAAAAAAATGAAAAAGTTAAATTCCAACTGCATTTGAAAGATAATACTAATTTAGAACTTCCCTAAAAGAGGTGGGGCTTGAAAATGACTTCAAGTGGGAAAATTATGACTATTAGTTGTAAAATCAACTTTAGGGCTATAGAGCCCAAAAGTAATAGTCTTGATTTTCAGACAATTGTACCGAATGGTCATACGTTTTATGCTGCGCAAAGATTCAACCAGTTTAATCTTGGCCGTCACAAGAAGTGGGTTATTGATATAGACAAATGCTCATGTACCCTTTACAACTCTTTTCATGTATGTTATTAGCAAAGAAGAAAAAAGGCCAGTCAGTCACTCAATAGTGTCTGACAGTGAAGTCTAGCAAGTAAACGGGTTTCCTTGCATAATTTGAATATGAGGACACTGCTAACGTTTAAATTTCACAGATAGGACATACATGACATATTCATAATTCCTGCAAAGTTCTACAGCATTTGAGGTTGGCTGCAAAAGGGACATAGTACCTTTAAGGGAATTTGAGCAGTGTGAAACCTGATTGCATAACAAGTATTCTTGAAATGCATTCACCTATTTCTCAACCTTTTTATCCCTTACGAATGACCTCGAGAATCTTAATTAGCTAGTGTGTCTAGCCATCCATGACCAAAGTAAAAGTCATAGGTTGAAAACAATATCAGTCATCTAATCATCTTATATCTAAGATCCTCTAAAGTTGCAGAAGAAAACTTCATAAAGGTTCCATTTTCTATCAAATATAAATCACGTGACTGGTTAGATATCAACGATTATAGTCAAGCCAGGTGACTGGCTTCCAGAAACCAACTGAATCTACGGACAGATCGGGCTACAAAACAAATATTAACTTATTTTACTCGAGACGCCAGCTAAATCCATCAACTGCAATAAAACTGAATAGGGAATGCCAACCAAAATAGAATAATACTATTACCTGGTTTCCCACAGTAACCTCCTCCCAACAGCTTACAATTATTGTAGTGCCTCGATTGACTCATGATGAATCTTTGAATGGAATTCGTGGCGATATCGTTTGGTGTGGAGTGGCCCATCCAGCAAATTTGCGTTATATACATGTATGAGTTTCTATCTCATCATTGTGCACTTACGATTTTTTTAAACAATTTTACTTTCATGATATTTTTTGTTTTTTCCTGTTTGTCTTTTAGGAGCTAGGATGCGTATTTGACGAGATCTTGGAAGAATTACCAGAAAAGGGCAAAGCTGAGTTATTTGATGTAAGATTACGAGTCTCCGAAAAGGATTAGGCCTATCCATTTTCTGATCTTTTGAGTATGCATTGAAAATTATAAAGTAATTCTTTGATAAATGTTTTTCATTTTAAATGTTTAATTTATAGGTATGGGATTGGCTTTTTATTGAAATGCTCTCAGACACACACCCACATGCAAAGGTTTTTATTAAAAAATATGTACTTACAATATAAGGTTTTACTTTCAACCTTAAAGGCTAAGTCCACTCCAAAAATAATTTGCTTTTATAGATGCAGAGAAACAAGAGAAGCACAGCCAAAAAAAAATGAGTAAAAATCGGATAACTGATAAGGAAGTTATTTTTTTGTGAAAAGTATGAAAAAGTATGGAACATTTGAAATCACTACACGAATTGCCGATTGGTTATCAGTTTGTGACGTCATTGCCCCACTATTTATCGATGGCTTTATATATTTTATCCCATTAATTTCTCCTTTTATCCCCCAAAACTTGATTTCCCCATGCCTTTGCCCAGATTTATATGATGTGTATCATATTGCGTGCATAACATTTCACAAAACTTTTCATGAACTTTGAAGAACTGATACTATTTCCTAAATATTGTATTTTCATAATTATTGATTTTTATATAAATAGTTTACCAAAATTCACATTTATCATGATTTAACTGAAAAAAATTACTCTATATTAGTGCATCCACACAAAAACATATTACCATCGATATCACTTGGATGCTGGTGTGAAGAAATAGGATTCTCAGGGGGGAATAAAAAATTTATATTATCAATATAAAGGAAACAAATAGTGGATATTGAGGCAATGACGCCACAGACTCATGTTTGAGTTGCCAATTCTTCTTCTGATTTTCTAAGTTTTTTATGTCATTAAAAATTCATAACTTTCTTATTAGTAATCCCATTTTGCTCAAACTTTTTTGTTTGGTTTGTGTGATTTTTGTGTTTCTATTGAAAGTAAGTTATTTTTGGAAAGGACTTGCCCTTTAATAGTTACTTATTGAACCGTGCGTATATATACTTGTTTTCGCTCCCTTACAAAAAAGGCAAAAAGGATTTAACATTTAAATCGCTCTTTTCTCCCCCACCCATTTATCCACCACTCCATCTCTCTCTCCCTCCCACTCTTCCTTTATCTCTCCCTCATCCTCATCTTTTTCTCGGATTTTCTCGGATTCATTCTATTGCAGGTGATAATGCGATGGGTTGACTACGACTGAAGATAAGGTCTCCTATTTCGTTTGTTCATATCATATCCTTTTGATTGATTTCATGTCCTCCTGTCATCAGCTGTTCTTCAAATGCTGTCATCATTAATCGTCGTCATTTTTTCCAAAAAAATATAGTTTCTCCTTGTTAACTGCAATGGATTTTTAATGGTAATAAGGAGTGGGAGGCCAATTAAATGTGTGGTGTGAAGAGTCGCTATATCCGGCAGGTGACCGATGTTATGCACTATGAAATTAGAGCAAATTAGATTGATGAACGAGTTCAATTATCGGTTGAGACCTGTCAAACCATTACCAACAAAGTAATACTTCATCAAAGAAATCAATTGTGGATTCTATATTTTATTCATTCCACGTTTCCTATCCTACTCTTGATGATAATCGAGTACAGGTTCACCATTATTTGAATATTCGTTCGGAGATACCTTGCAAAGTTCCAACCTCTCCACCTCAATAGCCTCTACACTGGGTATTGGAGAGAATAATCATATTTGGAATCAGTTTGGTGCGTCTTTTTTGGATCTTAACTTGTGCCCTTTGTCAAGAGAATGTCTGTAAGGGACCCCACTGGAAATAAGCTCTCGAGCTTTCGTGGGTTATCCTGTTCAAGCTGACTTTTTTTTGATCTGTTATTATTGTATATTGTTGTATGTTGGAAGCTTGTCGAATAAAAATCAATCAATCAATCAATCATTAAGATAATAGAGAAAGTGATTAAAAGTACCATTGTTAGATTTGAATTTGTAAAATATCCATGAGTCTAGTTTGTGTGTTTTAACTTTCAACTTTCAGATTTTTGCAGATATATTCTATGAAGTGGATACATTTTTTTTCGCCTTTAGTATACATATCAAAAGTAAGCCTACTAACTGGAAGGTAGAAAGGTAGAGTTTATGTTTAAAAAACATTCGATGAAATCTTTTGATAGTGTTGAATATTCAAAACAAATATGCTTTTTCATTCAGACTGAACGAAAGCCATGTAAAAAGAAAAGAAAGACTAAGACCATGCTGGCAGAGTAATACAAGGTATAATAGATTCAAAATGTGAAGACATTGGAGACGTAACTGTTTTAAGAATAAGAAGGTGAAATCGAAGACCATGAGAAAGATGTAGAAATAGAAATAGTGTGTCATCGACCATGCGTTATGAATAGAACACTTTAATTTATTATAATTGCATATTATTGCCAAAAATGGTAATCGTAGATCTGCTGAGTAGAACTAAAAGAAATAAGAACAATCGGAGTACGATTATTTGGTAACCCTAACAACGACTAACAACAATTTTCATCACTTCACATTCCTTTCCTGGTTCATTAAGCCAACCAATTAAATAACAGGCTTAAAGCCTTGGGATGTTCTTTAAAGAAAATAAATAACAACCCTTCCACGCAATACAATGGAATCCCCAATTAGCCTGGACTCCCCACGCAGTAGATTACAATGATTAACTTATAGAATTCGTAAAAGTATAATTTAAAAGTATTTATGAAAAGCAAAGGCTAATCTGTGTGGCGAACGGTTGTGTTTGTTTCTTGCTTAACTCAAGGTGGCGCCATTGTAGAGTTAAACTGCCCATAGTAGTACTTCCTGCAAGTATCGTCTTTTTGTTTTGCAGCCAGTAGAAGTGTCTGTTAGAGTCCTCTGGAACATACGTCTCTCCGTCTCTACAGGAAGTGAATCTATCATGGGTTTTTTTTTCATGTGAATTTAAACAAATGATTGAATATGAATGTAACACGTTATAATTAATGTCAGCAATGTACATTCAAGTCATGACAAATATTCAAAAGGAAACTTGAAGCACATTCTATCTTGATAATAAAAGTGTGTTTTCTGCATGGTAATGAACGATCCAACAATTAAGAATGTATTAACAAAATCTATACAACCTTAGAAATAAGGAATGTAATGAAAATTATGGTTATCGTTCTCATGAAAAAATCCTTTTAAGCCCCAATGCTATGACATATTGATCTTTTAAACCGCCTTGATATTTTCCATTTGCAGTACTTGATTATCTTTTTTGGATCAAAGCGGGGCGATGCTTTCTCAAACTTCAAAGGTATTTAAACTAAAGGATAGTTTAATTATAAACTGATCTTGTATTCTCTAGATATGAATAAAAGTAGAAATCCTGTTTTGTATTGAATATAAAGTCGTATTCTCATGTCAGCTGACGTACATTTGATAACCCTGTTTAATTTAGCGATATTCAACTTGGCTTCAGGGCTTTAATTTAGAACCAAATGATGAATGATACAGTGTACATGAATGCAAATTTGTCTACGAATACGAAGGTATTGAATATGCGTGAAGGTACTTGACACCTAGAAGTCCCTGATTAAACATAAGCGTTTGCCACCGGTAGTGTGTAACATTGTGTGATAATATTTGAAAATGATTGCTTTCTTTGGGTGTGATAAAGCATACCAGTACTCACAGCTTGAAAAACATAGCCCTAGGTAGGGACAAACTGAAATGATTCATCTATTGTATTGTTTTAAAACAGGGTAAATATGTACTCTACTGTAAAATATTGTGAACAGTCTATACATGTCATTTTCCATCAACGTGTTACACTATCTGGTAGTGTAAGCTGATTGAAGAACAAATAATGATGCATGGAAAACAGTTATTTTTATCATATGTACTGCATAATGTATATTCTCTCACTATATATGTGTACAAGATATATATATATACTTAAAAAATCATCCCAAATGGGTGTTTTATGAGAAATATATCATATGTTAAGGCATATATCATTTTGATTCACGTAATCTTCATCAAAGCTCTATGCCATGATTCAGGTTGTGCAATTTTAGACTGGAATATGTTAGTGTAAGCCTTTTATTACAATGCTGGTTCTTACTTTAGCAGTTAAGTTATAGTTGATAGTCTTGCTGTAGACGTAGAAACAGCTAGAATAGAATATCATGGATTTAAATGAGTATGAAAATGAGAATTGATCAATGTTTTTTCAATGTAAATGCAACAAAGCGAGTAATTAAGTACGTCCCAAATACTCAAAACGAATAGACCAATTAAAGAGTACTTTTTCATCGATAGACGGCGCTAGATAAGAGCGCTTTTATCGGGCTCATTGAGTTTTTAGTTACAGCTACTGGTGTATGTTTCGAGGCATTTTTCTCAGAGTGGCATTGGGAAAAGATGTATAATGCTCATGGGTGTCGATCCTTACGTAATATCTATTCATCGGGGGGGGGGGTGAATGAATAGATCACCCCCCCCCCCCTGATGAATAGGTATCAGTTACAGATCGACACCCATGATAATACTTTTTAAAAGCTGTAATCATCCTCTACTAAAACATGTCTTTAACGGAAAACGTCGGCCAAAAGCTTCTTACTGTGTAGGCCTAATATGAAAGGGAATTATGTGATCTTTATTCACGCTTTGATCCTTTATATTTAAATGAATCGTTTAAATCATAGTACAAAGTGAACGAACTGAAGCGTCAATATATTTAAAACGATAAGTTATCATACATGATGAGATTTAAATGGCTTTTCCTTTACAAACCTTGATTTTATGATTACATATATTTATTTAGGCATTTTATTCGTTTGGCTCGATATGTTGATTGAACACAGAGATTTGTTTCTGTGGAATAAATTTATTCAACAGTATGTTAATTATTTCTCTGATGAAGTAAAATGTTCGAATTCGTTTTTCGTTTTCTTTTATTCTCTTTTACTTTTATTCTCTTTTACTTTTATTCTCTTTTACTTTTATTCTCTTTTACTTTTATTCTCTTTTACTTTTATTCTCTTTTACCTTTATTCTCTTTTACTTTTATTTTACCTTTTACCGGTGATTTTTAAATACGTAGATGTCTATACATTCTATCTTAGTAAAAAATTGTCATATACAAACTGAATTCATGTCTATTAAATTAGCATAGGTACACAACAAATGTAAATAAAGATGGCTTTCAAATTAAATTGGAAACTTTGAATGTGAATATTTTATTACGATGTTAGCTGGTGTTTGTGAGGGAACAATTATGTGTTTGTGAGTACTTCCTTTGCATCGATCACTTCTATTTGGTTACAACCTTGTTTCCCGCGCAGTGCATTTTAATCGGAGATGACGTGTTTTATACTGATGTAATACATGTGTGGGTGTGTGTGTGCGCATGTGTGCGTGCGTACGAGTAGCAGCGAGTGTATTTGGGGTGTGTGCGTGTGCACGCGCGTGTATGTGTGAGCGTGTGCGTGTGTGTGTGTGTGTGTGCGTATGTGTGTGTGTGTTTGCTCGTTAGAGAGTAAGGGTTTTGTTTGTAGTTGAGTGGGCGGGCGTGTGGGTGCGCATGTGGGTGGATTCAGTAATGTGTTTTGAGTCTGGCATTATTCTTTCGATAAGTGCATATCAATAACAAGAAGACAGGTCCCACATTTTCCTATTCATGAATATACTCCTATTATAAACGGCCGGGGAGTATATGGAAACGTTTGCTTGGATTTGTCACATACAAGATGTTGACCACAAACTAACTCCCACACAGTGTTGTGTGCAGGGGTTACGGGTAAATGAGTAAATTCTGACAAAATATACAACCAATTAACACAAGTTAATTACCAAAAGAAAGCTAACGATTAGATGATTAGCCGCTCACCCCAAAGCCGGCCGACCACAATGGAACGAGTGAGGGCTTGCGAGAGTGGCCGAAGTGGAATTGAAACTCGCTATTTTGCTCTTCTCCAACGCAAAAACAGACGATATTGTGCTGGATTACTATGTTTTTTCCGACAAAAGTACAGAGAGAGTGCATATTATTTTTTGATATTATACATGTTGATAGGTTACCCAATTGACTACCGGGCACCCGAATGGAGGAAAGAAACGCACTTTTTTAGAAAACTTCATTTTTTTCATGCAAAACTGCTCATTTGTTCTCTGCACGCAAGTCAGATTGAGCGGATGATGCATCGTTTCCATATATGGGAATTCTAAATTGATTTTAGATCTTATTTTGAGGAAAGTGAGACATATACTTTAGTGAATGAAAGATGAGAAATGAATACAGTTAATAATTTTGAAAATCTTTATTTTTCCATCTTAAACATAATCACAAAATTAGTGCTTAAGTAAAAGGAACTTGGTTAATATACATATATATACCATAAAAGTATTTGAGGCTACGGAATGGGAGGGGGGTGCCTCACTTCATAACATAATGTTTTTAAATTCAATATTATTATCAAATTATTAAAACTTTCTAATATTGGATTCTAAATTGTATGCTTCAAAGCACAAACAATTTTCCATTTAAATCACCTCGACTTGATAGTAGGTGATGTAAATTATTTTGAGAACATTACAAATGTGCCATTTAGTGATCGGATTTGTTTAACCATGTTGCGCTAGAAGGTTCCTTGTTCTTTACACAACACTAATACTCTGACAATCTGCTGACAAATTGTATTAAGCTAATCCATCTTCCTCAGTGAGGTAATTGTCTCTATATCGTCTACCCACGCTGATCAACACGGTCACTTTTAACCAGTGGCTACAAAAAAAAATGCCGCCTAGTTTAGCTGTAAACATCTCAAAGCTATAGGCCATCATTAAAGTTTATGTTATCTCTATTAAAACCTTAAATCTGTGGCTTTAACCAGTGGCTACAAGAAAATCTATAAGCCATCATTAACATTTATATATTAATGTTATTTGAGAGATAGAAGGTGAATGCATCATCTTGTAGTAGGTCATAGTTGACAGACAGCTTCCGAGTGTCTAATATGAACCAGCCCCTCCCCCCCCCCCCCCTCCATTCTCAAATGAATTTGCCACCATCCAAAACTTAAAGAGAAGGTTGCGTTCTGGGAGAGGTGAAAATAATTTATGAGCTTTTTCATTGTTATTATGCAAGTGTGGAAGAATATCAGAGAAAACAAATATTCATGGCTCTTAAAATGCCCTCATATTCTAAATATGACATGTTACTGTTTAAAATGAGGACCACATTGTATGCCACATGTTTGTATAGTCCCAAGTACATCTTTATGTGAACAGTGCTTGTTCCTTTTACCAAGACTGGGCTAAATTTCTTATCATTTTGATGATTCCAGAACCTTGCAATACACTCCAATAATTATATGCTACAATTCAATCAAATTTTTAAATTTAAATTGTATTGATTAAAATCCAAGCATATAGGATCATTCTCAATTTGTATTTTATAACATTAGATAACAAATTCCCAAAATGATAGTTAAACATAGATAACTGAGTGAAAGAGCAAAGATGACAATAACCAGGAAAGACAAAAATGAATGTACTACTTCTCGTCTCTTATGGAATATAATACAGGGATGAAAATAAATTAAATTACTCGTAATACTTGTTACCTTTTTTCTTCATCTTTTTCTTTTCAAATGAAAAGGAAAATGAAAAGAAAAGAAAAATACAACATGATAGTAAAACAATAGATATCTAATGTCTATCTACCCCTCCCCATGAGATGACAACGACAATACGACCCTATTCCAAATCCAACTTCGTGGGAGACAGTGAGCATCATATGACAATTAATAATGCTTGTAACGATACTAAATTTCAGCGAGATTAATAATGTGGTTAAAAAGTATAAAAACAGCAATAATAAAACAATGAAACAACCAATAATCTTCATCTCATACAGTCGTATCTCTATCTTTTAAAAGACTTAATATTAAAAAGTCGAAACATGTTAATACATGTAGTACAAAGATAAACGGCATTGTAAATGAAAATGTAAATATATGTATTTATATATATATTCATTTTCATATATATATATATACATATGTTTATATTTATTCAATTAGTTATACTATTTTTTTTTTTTTTTTAACGGGTGGGGGGGGGGTGAAGATCGATTTTTTTTTCTAATCGATTTCATATCATTTATTTTACAATGCAATCGCATGACCAGAACTGAACTGTATCTTTAAATCTATGCCTTATTACAAGCAGATGCCGCCTAGTTTATTTGTAAACACCACAAAGCTATACGCCATCATTAAAACTTATGTCATCTCTATTAACAACTTAGATCTACAAGAAACACTATCTCGAATAACAATTGGAAAATCCAATTTTTCCAATTTTCACCCAGTGGTTGGTTATTTCCCCGTAAATCACTCCTTCATGTTTAATAGTACTTTAAAGCAAACAACATTATTGCTAAAACTCTCGCGATATCAATCAACTCTTGAAACATTGTCATGTGCGTCATCTTTTGAAATGTACGAACATGATAATTATCCGAACACAATTTCTATGGGCAATTACACTTTTGGTATTTAAATAGCCCTTAGAGTTGATTTTCGAAAGTCTTAACGACCGTCATAACATTTTAAATATGCACAGCTAAAAACCATTTTGTCAATTTCTGTTAAGTAGAATTAGAGCAGGAATAGGGTCACATCATTACACAATTTGATACCAAAATGAAATGTATAACATAAATTAATTTGTATTTCTTAAGACATTTGTATTCTTAAATTTTGAAGAATCACCAGAACAAGCGATTTCGTTCATATCCAACGAAAACTATAAGTAGTAAACACACGTATATTATACATTATATAATATCATGATTTCTCCAGGATATACAATATTATAATACTGATGCATTAACAACAATAATGGCCTCGTGGAAACTATAACATTGAGATATAAAGGCAGGGTGTAATCATAGGTCTGTGGTGTAACCATTGTGCACAAATGTAGTAATGAATATTTAGCGATGAAAGGTGCAGGTAAACTAAACTAATTTATCTTTTGGAAAATTCAATCAAGGAAAATCACTTCATATGTCACAACAGAGGGGTAACTAGGCCTTCACTTAAAGACATTAGAAATGGTATCGGGAATTCACCTAGAAGTACGTGAATTCATTGCCATAAGGTGTTCATATTACTTATAACTTGAAATGAATCAATTTAGTACCTTCATAGTATAATTTGGAGAAATATCCAAACATCATTTTCATTTTTAGAAATGGTAGAAGTTAAAATGTTAAGCGGAGGACTATTTTTGCACCCCGGATTTTTCGAAATGTTCGAAGCATTTCTTTGTCAATCAAAAATGAGTTGCAAAAATGATCCTCTTCCTGTGACAGGACTAACTGATGTCTTCCTTGATGTCCGATGCTCAAGATGGTGTCATTCTGACTCAAGGAGGGCCTGTGAAAAGTTAGAGAAAAGGGAGGAAATGTATTATTAAATCCATCTTCAAAGTAAAGCTGCACTGTGTAGCCCTCTTATATCTACTTTACGTTGCGTATTGATTCAGCAGGTATACAGAAACCAATGAGTTAAAATTGAAATTTAAAGTGACCTTTTTACTAAGTGAATTTTTGCCTTTAATGTTTATATATTTCCTTTTCCGTTCACAATGCCTTGTCCTTTCCCTCAACTCCATTTTCCCCAGGATAATGCGCTTTATATTCATGTTCTGCTCTGGTAGGGGTAAAAGATTTAGTTGCAATCACGTAATCCCTACTCAGAATGATTAAGATTTTATTTCAAGAAATTAATACACAGTTATAATTATCAATACAGAGGTATAGTTCTATTCAACTTCATTTTACTTTCATTGTCAGGAATTGCCAAGCAGAAATAATTGACTTTTTAAAAAATAGAGTCGAACATATACCTTAATCTTCACAAGTAGGTGTCTCTGACTAAACATTCCAAGAAAATTGAATGCCTTATTAATCACACTCGATCACTTCCAAACTAATTTGTCTGTCTCTGGCCCTCTCTGTCTTTCTCTCTCTGTCTTTCTCTCTCTCTCTCTCTCTCTCTCTCTTTCTCTCTCACTCTCTCTCTCTCTCTCTCTCTCTCTTTCCTTCTCTCTCTCTCTCTCTCTCTCTGACTATGTGTATGTGTTTCTCCCTTATTTTCTCTCCCTCTCTCTCTCTCTCTCTCTCTCTCTCTCTGTTGTTCGACAATTTCGAAACTGCTCTTGATTTTTGTTCTTACCTTCATTACTCGATCTCTTCCTTCTTCTGACAGCGACTCAAATACAGAATCTAGAAGACAGGTTTGGCTGCTGATTCGAGGCGTGTACTAAAAGAATAAACAAAAGCAAAAACACAATTTGTTTCCTCTAATTTTCTTGATTGGTCTTTCTTGATGTCGTACAATGCATTTCATTTCTGCGCTAACCTCACAGCTGATCTCACATACCTTCATATCACACATAATTATTGACATACCTGACACACGCAAAATGATTAAAATTAAGATCTGGACGGCCATGCATAATGGCTCAAGGCATGGACACACAGAGGATTTTCTTATGTTGGGGACCGGGGTAAAATGCAATACATTATTGAAAATGTATTGCATTTTCTTTCTTCTTTTTTTTATTTATGGAAACTTCCCCCTTCCCTAGCCCCGCTGCGTACAGTTATGGTTCAGGGACAAAGCATTACTGTGAGGCCCCAGGATCGAAACCGTGTCGATGTGCCATATTAGTGCCCTTTTGTGGGGCATTAATCCTCATTACTGTCATTTATGACTTAAGGGCGTAGGTCCCCTAGTTAATAAGCATAGTAGCATACACATGCTTTAACAGTCACGCAAAACATCATTGGCAAATTATTATTCAATAAAATTTGAAAATGTATACTATCATCTAGATCCATTAGGAATAAATTATTTTAAAAATAATTCCATAAATTGGGGTAAAACAAAAATATTCCAACTATATGAGCGACAGTGTATCTTTAAATGAAGAGATAACCATACTGATTTTGTAGATCGCATAGGTCATCTTGTTAAGTTATTATTAATCTTATAATTTTGATTTCATTTTATGATATCATTTTACTCGTTGTTTTTATATTAAATTGAACTTGACTGATAGTTCAAATCAAATTGAAATCACTTCAAATTACGCAACAAGTAGATTGATAGTATAAATTACAGATTGGTTTTCCCAGCAAACCTTGTAGTTTTGTTTCAGTCCATTTGATATTGAGCGTTCTTCAGTCATTCAAGTTTGATTATCGGACAAGAGATTTTACACATTTATCATTCAAATTCATTCCGTCTCGAGCTAAGATTCATTCAAGTTCATCGGCAATTGCCGGAAGGTGATCTCGGGCATTCGCAAATGGGCAGTCAATTTGGTAATACATAATTTTATGTTCTTTTAATTTAACATGGATGTAGCTTATGTAGGCCCCTACCTAAATTTCTTTCTTAATTCCTTAAAAATCAAAGGATTTTGATTTATTCCGTTCCATTGTCGATATCGCACAAAATGTTAACATGGTCAAAATGAAGTTCTTGTAAATATATTTTATGTTTCCGTATTTTCTTCACCTCTCATAGCTACATGAGATCAGATGCCTCAAAATCCCCCCCCCCAAAAAAAAAAAACTAATAAAAAATAGGAGGTAGTGTGCTCATGCAGAAGATCATAGAAGGGTAGAAATGTACCCCCCATATTATAGGGTGCACGCCCAATGGCGTAGCTACGGAGTCACTTGCTTAAGTCATTAAGTATAACACTTATTTGCAAAATATAGTTTGAATTACTTAAACGGGAATCATTCGAGAAATTGGACTAATTTGAATGAACGAAGTGCTATAGATTGGTTGCTCTAAAACGAATTTGAGTGTATACGGACGGCAGTATTACGTGATCAAGACAGTCGTGCTATAATTGAATGAACAATTTTTTGACAAAAAGCGTGCATAAAACATGAATTGAATGACAAACATATAAAATACAAATATATAAAATACGAATTTGTAGGCACGGCTCATGAATTTGAACTATCGAATAGAAAGACTATATTGTTCAAAACTGAATGCACGCAAAATGAATCGGATTGGCAAAGTTGCGAAATTGGACGGGAAAACCGGTATCATACTGGTATAGCCTGAAACCACTTTAAAAACTAGATTCTGTTATTCGATCTTCCGATCAATATTTTCGGTCGCAAAATATATCATCCTATTTCTCTCATGACACCAGTGGTATGTTCGCCTAAAACCTTCACAAGACACCGACAGAGTGCCGAGTACGGTCTTGCATATTTTTCCATCTGTCTAATTTTCATTATATTTTCAATCTGCTATTGTATTTCTTTTTGCGTTGTACTATTTAGATATGAATATCTGCATTTGTTTGTTCTATTTGAATTGTTGATAAAGGAAGTACATTTATTTTGTAATCGTCCGTTATATTTACCTCATCCTTTGATACTGTTTCATGATCTTCTGGTTCTAGACTGAATGATCGCTTTCGGCCCACTAGAAAATATAGAGAGTACATGAGTAATTAATCAAGAAAATATAAATATCACGTATTTCAGTAAGTGTCGAGCTTCATAACTTTGAACATTATATGGCATTAGCTAAGAAATTAGGCCAGAAAAATACCGGGCTTGATTAATATTTTGATCATTTTATTAACCTTCATGATTTTCCTGAACCTGACGCTGTTCCATTTATCAAAAAAAGTGAACAAGATGACATCTTTTCACCATAATATCTCCCCATAGTACAATCCTACACTCGTTATTGTTTCAAACACGATGCGTTCATTCTCCTGTCAGTCTCTATAATTGTCTTCATCAATCTTTCTCCCTCTCCTCACAACCTGTCTTCATGTGCTTGTAACATCTCTCTCTCTCTCCCATTCTCCTCTGTCATTACTCTCTCTCTCTCTCTCTCTCTCTCTCTCTTTTCATTAAGAAAAATGAACAAGATGATAATCTATTTACCACAATCCTAAACTTGTTATTGTTTAAAAAACGATGCCTTCATTTTTCTGTCAGTCTCTATAATTGTCTTCTTCTATCTTTCTCTCTTCCTCTCTCTCCATACAACCTATATGATTTTCCTGAACCTGACGCTGTTTAATTTATTAAAAAAGGGAACAAGATGATATCTATTTACCGTAATACCTCCCCATAGAACAATCCTACACTCGTTATTGTTTCAAACACGATGCGTTCATTTTCCTGCCAGTCTCTATTGTCTTCATGTGCTTGTAACATCTCTCTCTCTCCCATCTCCTATGTCATTACTCTCTCTCTCTCTCTCTCTCTCTCTCTCTCTCTCTCTCTCTCTCTCTCTCTATGTCTGTCCCTCGCTATTGTAATGAAAGGAACAAGATGCGTTCATTTTCCTGTCAGTCTCTAGAAGTGTCTTCTTCTCTCTCTCTCTCTCTCTCTCTCTCTCTCTCTCTCTCTCCTCTCTCTCTCTCTCTCTCTCTCTCTCTCTAACTCTTTACCCTCCTGCTATCTTTATTTCTTCCCATTCATCATAGTGATGAAGTCATTGAGAGGTGCTGAAACAGACAGGGCGGGAGATTTTTTCTGACACTCCTCCACGTCACCATGGTTACATTCTATAAAGGCATTATATCAAAAGCGTGTATACGTTCTACCAAGTATGAGCATATTCATGCAGTTCATTGCTTGATGAATTGTTACAATGAACAAAAAATTCGAATACAAAATTATGTTATTAACATGGAAGACAATGCATGAATATGCCCCGGTGTACATTTCTGACAAGATGACTGTTTATAACCCTCGAACTAATTTGCGATCAACAGGTTAATACCTGCTTGAGAGTCCTCGAACACGCTCTCTTCTAGGTGATCGACCATTTACTGTCTGTGCATCGAGATTGTGGAATGGTCTTCCCCTGTGTCACCAGTTATCCACTTTCAGAACTCAACTAAAGACATACCTATTTCAGATTGCTTAAAATTTAGTCACTATTTTTTTTTGGTTTTTCCCAGTTAGAATCATGAGACATTTTTGGTAGTTTTTCAGTCTCACCAGCGCCTTTGATTAGGCAACTAGATAATGGCGCTTTATAAATTCCGGGATTGGATTGGATTGGAATGATTTAAATTATTCATATTATTCATAAGTTTGCTTTCTGTTAATCACATATCATTAATTTGGTACCAAATTTTGATGGAAGAAAAAATGTATAACCTTCAACAAGCTTATCATTGTTAAATTTATCATATCAAAAAGAACAAAGTGAGCATTATACGCAGACACGTTGAATATAATCTTTCATAACGATCAATTAACTGTTTGTTTTAGATGAACACAACAACAACACAAAAGGGCGTCGCTTTAGGGAGTGGTAGGCACGATACTCCATCATTCAACATTTAGACAAAATTCGTCTAACACCGTTCCCCTCCCATCAAATATTGGTCTTCCATGAAGATTTGTATTTTTAGACCAGTATTAAGAATCTTAAGTTACAATTTTTGTTAATATTGGGTATGGTTTGAAATTTACGAAAGCTATGATGAAAAACCCTTCTTTTCTACTTTATCGGGGCCGGACATGGTGGTTGTAGCCCACTGTTCTCAATGGCAAGTGTAAAAGGGAGAGTCAGCCCTCCCCCCACTTACCCGGCCCTCATATTTAGCCCTGCCCCACCGCATTCGCTAGAGTTTATACATAGTATATAATACATTCGTGTTGAAAGTGCTTGCTTGATTATGAGGGAAGAAGTAGATGGGAATGTCGAAAAGTCCCTTGGAATACACGTCTAGATTTTTATTTTTTATTTTTTTTAAATTTTTGTTTACATTGTCTAAATAGGCCGGTTGTTTATTTGTATGGAATATAACATATTATATTAAAATTAGTATAAAAATAATTAATTGGTTGATCGTGAAAACCACAGTAGAATTCTGTCTTCGACTAGAAGAAGTGGATGTTGATTACACCTATCGTCTATAGGTTGATATCGGATGAAATTTCGAGGGCGATTCCGGTCGCTTTGCTTTTACGATGACAAGAGAAAAACAGCGAAGCGACGCGAACGCGCCTCCGAACTTTCCCGAAATCTGCCGAAAGGCGAGCGTTTCTCTAGAGTTGCACAATGTCACAAAACTTCAATCTTCTTCAAAAACTCTTCGACTTGCTCATTATCTCATTAAAGCTACACCTGCACATTATGAAGAGCTTTTAATAATTACATGGTAACACATAATGCGAGGCACACGTTATCTATCAACCCAAATACGATAAAACATTAAGTTCTGAATTAATAATCCATTTCTCTATTCCCATCAGATGATGATAAATACGTGCTTTCATCAGTAGGTGTTGATGTTTTAATTCAATGAAAAGCCGCTTTGATGATAATATCATATCATACTTACTTGTGCATGTCCGCACACAGGACATGTTGGTACACCCTTTGCATCCTAAAAACACAAACACAAAGGAAAAGACGTTAAACAAAATTGAAATATCATGTTCTGCTCATTCCCAATTTAAAATTCTCTCTCTCTCTCTCTCTCTCTTTCTCTCTTTCTCTCTTTCTCTCTCTCTCATTCTCTCTCTCTCTCTCTCTCTCTCTCTCTCTCTCTCTGTATGTGGGTGTGTGAGATCGTAAGTTAGAGTCTGGAAGTCGGTATGATACATATTTTTCAGTTTCGTATCACGAATACATTCATTTCACGTATTCACTAACAGACATTATAGACCCACTTAAAATAGTCTTCGACAGTCATGGTGTCCACTAATCATTAATTCGGTTTCTCCATTTTGATATTTCAGGTTTTAAAACATGTATTTTCATGTCTTCCAGTCAGGAATACTAAATCATTAAAAAAAAACCTGTCAAGATTCAATTTGAAACTCATTAATGATTCATTGATAATCTAATGTGGGATGATTAAAGTCTATTTCCGCGACAAAGCATACTTGATTACGGATACACGCATTGCATGAAAAATATGCTATTATTCATCTTCACATCGCTGTAAAATCGTTACAACCTGGGATGTTTATCTCATACTTCGGGTCAACGACTGCCATCAACCATAATTTTGTCAGATTACTGATATTACTGATATTTGTCTCCCCACATTCAAGAAAATATCAAAATATATGTAAACGGCTCTACGACACATGCTTAAGCGACATTGTTCAGCGGTCATTTTCTACTATTTAACCAAAACCCTAACTTCATCCTTTGACCAAACGATATACCTATCCTTGAAATCAAACCCTATTGCAACCCTAACCATTGTCCTAATAATGGTTTATAGAACAAAACGTTACACTCGTGGTTTACATGAAGGAGAGGGGAGGGAGAGAGAAAGGGGTGGAACCGTGGAAGGTTGGAGGAAGAAAGAGAGAGAGAGAGAGAGAGAGAAAGGGGAGAGGATGAGAGAGAAGGGGGAGAGGATGAGAGGGAGGGATGGGAGGAAGGAGGGAGAAAGAAAGAAAGGCAGACAAATAACGACAGACAGAGATTGGGGGAAGTTTCGGTTGGCAGCTGTTCTTCTAAGTCCAAGGAGTTTGAGAAAAGGGAAGGGATGGGAGGGTAGATTTTAATAAAGGAAAACTCGTAACTTCAATTTTGTAAGATTAGGCCTATATGTTGAGAAATGTGAAAATCAAAATTTTAAAGAATATTCAGATATCTTTTGGAGGAAAAAAAACATTGCTTGATCTCGTTTTGGGTCGTCAAATAACTGTGTCGTGCGGTAATATTTTCATATTATGTAGTTGCGTTATATTTAAGTGATAAAAAGCTTTGTTATAATAATGTTTTAGTTTGTAAAAGATAAGACTGTGGATGAATGCTTTGCTGCTATGTTATGTACGAGACAAAAATGGAAGTATGAGAAATAACATCTATGAATACAACAAAGAATACTATCTCCTATATGTGACTTCAGGAGAATAATAATCTACCCAAGAGCAGACAGTCCCTCCCCTCCCCCCTCCCCCCTATCAAACATAGAAAAGCTGGTTTGGTGAAGTAGGGATGTTGACGCTATTACTGACTGTAATGATTGTTGGTATATGATTGCCTCCTCTGGTAATCTTCAAGTGTGAGTTACATTAAAATGTTACATCAACACTGCTCCATTTACAGACTAATTTAAATGAGTCTTAATCTGCTACAGGCTACTTCCAACTTCGAAGTTAGTCGAAGTTAAAGCGGCACTGCACTACTTGTTGCTCATTGCGCCCTCTATACAGCAAACAATGCCTAAGCGGTACCCGTTGATCCCCGTGGTTAGCTGATTTGATGAGATAACCACCTGCCAGTTACCAGCAGGGAGGTCGAATCCCTCCTGGCCAAACTAATGCAGATAGGCTCTCTCGCATACTGACTGTCAACCAATATTCAAAACTTGTCTTAAAGCCTATATCTGCACTAGTTTGGCCAGGAGCGATTGGACCTCATTCCATGGTCACGGGCAGTTGGTTATCTCACCAAATTAGCTCTCAATTAACATAAGAAAAGGGGACCATGGGGGACCAACGGTCAACGCTTAGGCATTGTTTGCTATATGCAGAGGACGCAAATAGCTATAAGTAATGCAGTGGGGCTTTAAAGGGACTTGGTAACATTGTTCAGATGACAGAAAATGGTGCTCAGGTAGTGACTTGGATGCTACAGATGTCAAATTTAAGATAATCTTAAAGTTTGAGCAAAAACAGACCATTATTAATGATAAAAATTGAATAACACTGATCTAATCGATTCCCTAATTCTCCCAACTATATTATTACAATTTAATTACATTTTAGGTGAATGTTAATTGTCACAAATGTATGATCGGCTCTATATCCCATTCCTGATTTTTAAGTGTTGATATATTTTTTAAAGCCTGTCTGATGTCTTACTTTCATGGAAAATCGGTTGGAAAATTCAAATATTGTTTTGGAGAATTTACTGTTAATGTTAGAGGGTGTCGCACAGTGACGCCTTCAAAGAAAACCATAAATTATTTGTGGTTTGAGAATATTTCAGGAATGTTTGCACGGTAGAAAAATATAATAAGTATCATTTCATACAATAGTTACGCAGTTTTTTCATCAACCTTCAACAATGTTACCAGTTCACTTAAAGTTCAAACAGTTAATCCATACCCAAGCATGCTCAAATGGTGTGCGTGATGTTACGTATTAGATTTTACTAGGGAATCGCAATTCCTAAAAATCCTAACAATAAAAAAGTGTATTTTGACCCACAACATAAATCATAAACTAAAATGAGTTAGTTCTTTGACATAGCCTACACACAGGAAAAAAATCGCTGTTGGTCAGCAATAATTGTTATGCCCTGTAGATTTTCCGAATTACTTTACAAAAACTGGTATCATCACTTAAACAATAATCTTTTTTCACTAAAAAAGAATATGGCACTACATGAAAATTGCAATTGCGATACCTTAACCCGAACTGAGCATAATCTACACTAAGGTGTAAACAAATTACTGGTAAAATGTTCCATCTGTAGCTCTTTGGAAAAATACATGTTCAAGTACTATAACCGCAATTAGGGGGGTTTGCAAAATTGATCTTATTCATTAAACACACAAACGGGAGTCATCTTGAATTTTGAAATTTAGAAGAAGAAAAAAGGTGCAAATTTTTCAAAACACTATATTTTGTCCGAACTTTACCCTGGCTTCGAGTACAAAATTGAGAAAATTTCTAAATGTATATAATTGAGCGTAATTGCACATGATGCATGACGGAATCTGGGCGAGACTTGGCAGCTTATTCATTATCAGTGGTTGTTGCTTGAAGCGTTTTGTTTAGCTTTACTTTTCATTTTACTGGCTATGAACAAGTTAGAATTGACCAGGATTTTTTTCTACTAAAAACTTAGTCAACAATAATTGAATATCGCATTCCATCTGTTTTGCCTCTCTAGAAATGTACTATATCATTAGGAGTCTCTCTCTTCAAATTCATCAAAGATTAATATAGCATGTACAGTGACCCCGTGTTAAGTATGCAAAGTGTCATCAACGTCTTGCACCTGTATGTATGAAGCCTAAATGACCGCAACCGGTGAGACAATATTTGCATGGTGTCGAGTCTAAATATCATTTTGCGCTTGAGAAGTTGAGATCAGACTGTTTATTAAGAATCAAGAGCAACATTTATTCATTTATTCAAGATATCAAAATATTATTCTTAGCCTCCCCCCTTCCCCACCCCCAAGGGTAGATTCAATATTTTCCTAAAAGGGGGGTGTGAAATGTACAAACCTGCGTGCGCCCCGCCCCCTGGATCCGCCCCTGCGCGTGCCCTCCCTTTCTTAAGCTTCGTCACACCATCCCTGGATCGTTTGCTTGTTTCCTTGTTTTATTTTATTTCTGCATTATTTACATAAACAAACAGTAATATACAAACCAAGTACAGATATATTATTACAAAAGTTAAAAAATAAAATTCAATCATAGGCCTATCATTAAAAAGAAATCAATAAAATAATTATACCTTTAACAAAAAAAGGTGATAAATCATTTCAAAATTGAAAAAAATACAAACGAAGAAGAATGTTTGTACTTACCTACTCTGCTCCTCTTATATTCTTGGTTGTATCTTGCCATTTCCATGTCATCTAGAAGATTACACGTACACTGGACTGCAATGAGCACCAGAAGAAAGACCACTGTCAAGTAAAATTGACAACTCATCGATGCCATTTTCCTCGCCATCACTGATTTTGTCCTGGTATACTAACGGTCACTTATGTGAAAAATTATTGAGAGTAGTAGATTCTTCTTTTGTAACGCTAAATCAATAATATTCTTCTGTTGATCACTTCAAACAGTTCTATCCAAATAATATACTGACACAATATGCAGTACAAACAAAAGGTAACAGATTAGTGTTGATCCCAGCAGTTCTCTAATCCATTTGTAGTTTGACGCTTCCTTATATCGATTCTATTTCAATAATTTATCGTCTGACAATATTACTGTGAAGCTAATATTACTAATTTCCACGATGTCGCTGATGGAAATGACGTATAATCTTGATGCTGAATTAAAAATCTATGGGTCATCAGCCAACCAAGCTCCGATCTGTTCGTATTAACAATGCTCCTCAAAGAAATATGATAATTATCCTATATAGGAATCGAAAGTTGGATAACGTGAATAATCACATCCATCTGATTCGTGGAAAGCTACGCAAGTGTATCCATACATCGCCGCATCTTCTACATACGGTATTCCGGTACGCCGAATCGAGCACGTCCTCTATCGTCGGCGGGACAAAGCAAATAGCAATTTTTCTGTAAAGTATATTTGATGGAGTCCAGCCCATGGTCGTTGCTATTGATTTTTTTCCCCCTCTCCCCGACAATGATTTTTTTTTATATATTAACGGTAAAATTAGTAGTTACCGGACACCATTACTTTCTGCGCACGACTGGACACATTAAGACTAATTGCATGTTTCTGGCTTTCCAGTTGGCGGAACTCCTGGAGTCTGCGAATTATCATCATTATTGGTAATATATTTCCTCGCAACGTTATCAATGATCGGTTACATAAAGAGAGAGAGAGAGAGAGAGAGAGAGAGAGAGAGAGAGAGAGAGAGAGAGCATGACGTCTCGAACAGAAGTTGCGCTAATAAAGCAATACATGATTAACAAGAGAGCGCGTTAATCAACCATAAACCAATTCAAAGTTTACCAACACACTTGTCATAAAGGAAGAAAAATATGATGGCTGTAGGATAAAACGTAATGAGTGGTACAAAAATTTATCTTTTTCTTGTCATTTTGCAAAACAATATCAAATAAAACTTTATTTCGGCAAATCTTTTACATTTATACTTTGTTCACGAACGTATAAATAAGTGATTTGCTTCATTCGACTTCGGAAATTAGTAAATGATTTATTAATCATAATTAGATACATCGTGACACATCTTCATATCTATTCAGCTCATTCACTTTCTAAAATCATCAGTCTAGACATCAATCTCTTTCTTACAACCCACTTACATTGATGCAAATTAATAGAATCATGCTTTCTTTCTTGATAGTGACTGGCCGGCTACTTAATAATTAGACTCCACCTATCATTATGATGTCTAGAATGGTGATAAAAATTGTTTGGTTTAAACATCTTTTGTTCATCCTCAATTACCTAGTCTGATTGCTCATGTCACGATGTCATGAGACAATGATAACATCAAACCAATTGTAATGTAAGAGGTCAACTCACCAAAGCACATTTATCACATCAACTTAGAAAATTATCTTTATGGTTCGAGAGCTGACGGGAATAAATAACTAATTATACACACACATTCATACGCGATTTGTTTTCCTACCAAATGACGCACCAAGTCAGTTTACAGCTCCGTGAGAAGTAAAAAAAAAAAAAAAAAAACGATCCACTATTCAACGTTGCTTTTCTTCTCCGTCGTTTTGAATATCGGATAATAGAATATAGGATATTGGCAAAGACAACCCACTTTCCTCTAGTTTGCGTAATCCTTCCGATCATAAACCAATGAAAGATTACTTCAGGAAGTCAGGATGTCTTGTTGCAACTACAACATTCATCAAACACGACAATATTTTGGAACGCAGTCAGAAATACGTTGAGCCCCTTTCTTTATAAATCTTTTTACGTTTCAGTTAGTGGGTTTTTTTTGCGAGCGTCAACGGGCTCCAATTTTCAGAAGTGTTCTATCCGTTTTGGCTAAAATAAAAATTAGTTCAGGGTAGTTAGAAAGTGACACAAAGAATAAATCCAACAAGAAACGTTGCATTGCACTAAATGTGTATGCAAAATGTTTTTTAAAGTGAAATACGTGTCTGTTTTTTTGTTTGTTATACACGACTGCTTAGAAAGCATGGATAGTAAATAAGCAACCAGTGGCCCGACGGCTTTAAGTCCTCTCCGAGGGCTTTGGAAATGGGGATTGATGCTTTAACAAATGGTACTAGCGCATCGACTAGGTTTCGAACCCGGGATCCCCCGGTTACGAGACCACTGCTGTACCACTGAACCATCGCGAACCATAGAGACTCAAAACAAGGGGATCCTGTTTACATTGTTTGTGCTATCTCCTTTAGATATGAAAGTCGACTCCCTGTTGCTCTTTGATTCCTGGACATAAAATAGGACGCACAAATTAACAGGCAGTACAAAATTATTCCAAAGGACTATGATTTCCTTAACTCCTTCTTGGACCAGTACTAGTGACAACTAGAACCCCCCCCCCCCCCACCACCACCACCACCACCTTTCCCCCTTTCACGTGTGGCAGGTACCTCAGGCTCAGTCGTTAGATTTCTGCTGCGAAGAGTAGTAGGACTAATAGGGGTAGTATACCAGTACTGGGGGGGGGGGCAGTACTCATATTACGTAACCCTTTATTTTTGATGGAGAAGTATATTAAAAGGGATTGGGTAACTTTGCCTCAGTTTCAATAAAAAAAATCCTGGATTTAGCTCATGCTGAACCATAATTATAAACCTTTAGGTCAGTCAGGAAACCCATCACTTTTACAAGCCAATCGCCTGTCTGATTATCAAGATATCGATGATTAAAATTAGAAATTTCAGAATTCGTTTGCTTAACGGTTTTTATAACACTACGTCCACCAAGGGTCATGCATCTCAGATTAACATTGTTGAACGATGCCTTTAAAGGAATTGCTATGAACGTAGGCCTACATTATTAAAACAAATATGTTGACAAAATAATTCAAGTGGAGTTAAGGTCATTTATTTCTGAATGGGCTTGGGTCTTTTTTGAGAGGGAGTGTAAACACACCTTTAATGAGGGCCTTAAGGTGCGGACATGTTTTGCCCGATTCAGTGACGCTATCGTCGTCATGCAGCATCTATTAATAGGCATGATAGGACGAAGAGATATGGCGATCATTCGTTAAGTCCCCGCCTCTTCTTAGTAAATGGCATGAACTCAACTGCTATATATTCATCAGGCACTATCATATTCTTTTAAATACTATTGTTTGTGTCATAAAAACCTCGATATTGCCCGCCTTTTTTGTGTCACGAAATTCCGGTTAAAACTGCCAATCTTCTTCACACTAAATTTCATATCCAACATACCGTATTGCTTTCGTGATGAAAGCGCTGAGATTCCCACCTATCAAAGAGCTGGATCACTTTTCAGAGCTGAAGTATTGAAAAGTTGTTCGACGTCTGAAATTTGACGGTGTCCCTAAAATCGAAAGCATGAGAAAAGAGCTCGTATTCGTTACAATCTAAAAAGTCTCCAACTCTCAAGTAAATGCATTGCTGGGAGCTATCACCTGCTTTTTAACGCGTGGAGTAAAATTGCCGACATCAAACCATAGGCCATCACTAAATCTCAACATCTCTTTTCTTTCTTGGTTTCGACAAGAGTTGGAGATTTCTTGTATTAACATCGCACTCGAGCATATACGAACACTTTTCCAGTTCACTCAAGGTGTTGGGTTCGGGAAGGCTTTTTGAAGAAGTTAGTTTTTATATAAAAACAATATAATTGTTTTATTCAGAAGATGTCTGGTTCTAGGCATTGGAGTGGGGTCCAGAGTTGGTTGGTGGTTGCGTGCCTTATGATTGTGGTTGAATATTCGACATGTACTCTCCTAGAAGAAATGGACCTCATGAGACACAGGAATGCAGAGAAAAAGGGCGGTCTAAGTAAGTACATAACACATTTTTTTTTTTATTAAATCCTATATATACTCATAGCATGGTTTCAAACGTCATGTTTCTGTATAGCTTATGAGAATGGACCTAATACATTTTGTTTCCAAGACGATTTAACGATGATTGGATGATTTGTTTGGATTCTAGCGTGTGTGTTTTTAGAATGATGACACCTCATATTGTGATGGTGAGAAAATATGAAAATGTATTACGCATCCTCCAAAGTATGAGAGTTCCTTAGCTTGCAGATAAAAATGGAAATATGACGTGTGAAAAAAAGGAAGGGTATAAATCTACGTGGACCTGAAAAAGATCAAAAGGGAAATCGGAGAGTAAGGGTATTTATACGCTGATGTTTTTAGCGTTTAAACGGAAAAGATAATCTAAATGGCCTGGGCACCTCTATATCCATTAAGAGTTGATTCGAGGATAATTAACCACGTTTTTGTGCGAACTGGCACTTTATCCTCTCTGATCCCCTCTTGTTCTATTTTAGTATAATACTTCTTATCCTATTAACCCAGCGAATATAGTTTATGCCGCGAGGGGCTTATAATTGTAGATGTGTTTGTATTCAAAGAAACTTAGAACGCGTTGTCATTATGCTCGTTATAATGTTCCTGTGAATAACGGTAATTAAGCCATTTTGGGAATCCATGAGCAGTAGAAGTCCTATTGACAGGTCAGTGAGAGTTAGGAGGTTGTAATAGTGATGTCTAGAGGGTGTGTGAAGTCATGGTGTGTGCAGATCATGCTGATAGTGCCTCCCAGGAGATCACTGTCACTTGCTGGTATTCTGACTCTGTTTCATTAAAACTCTGAATTGGTCATTCTTGATTTATATCAATTTTCAGTATTGATGTCTGTTATGTTTTGTCCACAGGGCTCTTTGTTTCCTCCGTCCTTTGTCTTCATCTTTGTCTCCTCCCTCCCTCTCTCTCTCTCTCTCTCTCTCTCTTCTTTCTCTCCCTACCCCTCTTTTTTCCATTCTCTCTCCCTACCTCTCTTTTTTCCATTCTCTCTCCCCATTCTTCCTCTCCCTCTCTTCTCTGTTTCTCCTTTCCTCCTTACACTTCAACTTGCTCTCATTCTTCCTTCATTTCCCCTTTGTTTGTTCTCTCTCCTCTCTCTCTCTCTCTCTCTCTCTCTCCCTCTATCTCTCTCTCTTTCTCTCTCTTTCCCTCTCTCTCCATCCCTCCACCTCTCTATCTATCTCTCTGCCGGTCTCTCTCTCCTTTCCTCTCTCTCTCTCTCTTTCTCTCTTTCTTTCTCTTTATCCCTCTATCAACTATACCTCAGATTCATTCCCCTCCTTCAGCTACAATAGTCTGTCTGTATTTTTGCCCCTACGTATTTGTTGAAGTACCCGTAATCTATACATATTTAAGATCTAAATCTTGTTAATATGGTATCTGTTCTGAGAATCACTTGTACCATTTCCGATCTAGAGACACTAAACACCTCTCATGCTATGAAGCTTCTCTGATCTCATCTTAAACGAGTAGGATCACTCCATATTTTCATCAGTCTACGATTTGATTATAGCGATGCTTTCTCCTCCTATCCCCCCTCCTCTCTCTCTCTCTCTCTCTCTCTCTCTCTCTCTCTCTCTATTTATCTCTCTGTCTCTGTCTCTCTCTGTCTCTCTATGTATCTATCTCTCTCTCTTTCTCTCTTTCTCTCTTCCCCATGTTCCCCTTATTTTTTTCTCCTTGAGAAACATTAGGATTTGAATTTGGTTTTTATTCTTATTCATATTTTATATCCATGTTCAATTCAGTAAATTTTTTCGCTCTTACGGCCAACTTAATCATGACGAATCTCTAAACGTATTCCCATCATTAATTGATCTCAATTCCATGTGAACTTTATTTTCCTCACACGGTAATTCTGTCACCCCTGTGGTATAAAAGTAGGTGAGGAGGCAGTTTAAAACATAAGCGAATAAAAGAGTAAGATAGAGAGAAAAAAAGAGGACAGAGATTGAGAATAGAGAGAGAGAGAGAGAGAGAGATAATGAAAGAGGGTGGGATAAGAAAGAGGAACAGGAGGAGAATGAGGGGCGTATGAGAGAGATAAGGATAGATAGATAGATAGATAGATAGAGAAGGAATGAGAGAGAGGAGGTGGAGGGAGAAAGAGAGAGAAAGTAATATGATGAAAATGTCACGACATGTTACAGATGTATTTTTGTCATTGCTGTAATTGGTTACATAGCTCACAGCCGTTGACCTCTATTTTAGTTTACTTGTGTCCCGTCTCTCGGTATCCCCCTCCCCCCATCTTTAACAAATTTTCCAATCAAATATCCATAGAACTTGGGGGAAAAACATTTAATAAAACTACCTTTTCATCTTTCCTTTACCTCCACCCTCTCCCTTTTTGGCCTTGATGGTTTTTAAACAATATTCCCTGTTCGTGGTCCTATTTCTGAAATTTATCGAATAGTGGAATTTGATGAATACTCATCACACCGTTATCGCCGCTTTTAATTGCTTGGCCTTTTGTGTGATTGATCTTGTGAATAAAATGATCATTAAACAGATTAGAAATGATGATCAACGTAGCTGGTATATGCCATTTATGAATTTGCGTGAATAATATTGATCCCATTGCATAAAAATTACATTAAAAGTGAAGGTACTCCTGATACAATCTCCCTTTTGAAAATCTGTCAGATAAATGCAAGATTTGCATTTGAACATGTTCCTCTCGTTCTGTTTTCAAATATTTACATCTTTATGTTTCCCTTTCTCTCCGTTTTTCCCCATTTTTTTTCACAGACTGTAGACAGTGTTCAGTGAACAAGGAATACCTCATCTCACACATGGACACTTGCAAAAATATCTGTACCAGGCCTTTGGGTAAGTGAAGTGGTCCTGCCCTGCACCTCCAAATTACATTAGCTTTATTGTTCACCCGTTTCGATTTCATTGCCATTATGATACTGTTACCTCTAAGTTATCTACTTTCTGCGCCTTGAGAATATTCAATTTTTGCTCGCTATGAATTTACTACGATCGATCGCTGCATGCAGCTGGTATGAAAAAAGGGCCACTAGTCACAGTCATGGCTTAATCGTCAAAAGTCATATACGTATCTGAAGTAAGTGGGAATGGATCTTATGAAATGCTCTCAAAGTAATGCCAAACAAGACGAAACAAGCCACCCTTGCATTTCGAATAACAACGTCAATGACCTTCATACCTTCGTGTAAAAGTATCAACCACCATTAGCACAATCAATGTTTAGATGGAAAGCGTCTATCTATTAGGTTCTGTGAATTTTAAACCTTCAAATACAACTATCTAATGCAGCGTTTTTACAACCGGGGTGCCGCGACGAAAATTTAGTTGTATCTAAAAATTATTTTGTAATAATTTCGAATTCGTGAAACACCAAATATTAGATACCGCTAGAGTATGTAATTTCATGAACATTTTCTCTCGCATTTTTTAGAAAAAGGATTGTTTCAGGCCGCGAAGTGCCTTAACACGTCGATATTTTTGCAATGAAGTGCCCGAATGTCATATATATATATTTCATATCTTCTTCGCTTCACCCGTTCGCAACTAGATGCTCGAATATATCCTCATTTTTGTAGCGGGGTGCCCGCATACATTATTTTTTAATATAGCTTATTCCGTGTGTTGATTAAAACGATATTGGTTAAAAATGTCAAATATATGTCATTTTTGGCTCGTTCGCCAAAACAAATGACACAAAATATATGCCTGTAGGTGTGTACTTGACACTTGACAAGTTTCGGGGTGATGCAGAAGTAATTTTCTTTGATGAAGTTGGGATTGGGGTGACGCGAAACCTTTTATTCCTGAACAAGGTGCCGTGACTGAAATAAAGGTTGAAAAACGCTGTTCTTCTGTACAAATTGGCAGTTGTAGTTATATGAAGTGGCGAATGAAAGGAAATGAATCGCATTCACTGATCTTAATTTTAACCTCAAAAATCAGCTGCATAGATAGGGCTTATTGTGATTTCAAGTTCATATCAAAATACGCGTACGGAATTATTTTCTTCATTGTTCTAGATAACTAGATCCGTGACATAGGAAAATTGCGCTTAACTACTCGTTGTCATATTTTCTAATAGTAAAATCAATTTCTAACGATCTACAATGGATTCCATTATAGTTTCTGAAAGTTATTGATTTTGGCTTTCGCTAGCTTGAATAATAGAATGGTTCAATATGAACGGATAAGTATACGTTAAACAATACATGAAACAGTCAACGTCTACGAGAACTACAACCAGCAACTGGTTTGTCAAGCCTCAATCGGTCTGGGTAGCAGGGCAGGTATATCAAGAATTCAAAACTCGGAATATACAATTAACAAACTAATATATTCATGCCCTTACCAAGTTAAGTATTTTTGTAAACATGTGAAAATTGATTTGTAATAATAATAATAATAATAATAATAATAGTGGGTTCTTGTATAGCGCTCATGTCAGTCAGATTTGACCCTCCTGGCGCTCCCGATTATTACCCTGGCTTTAGCACGGCTGCCATACGGCGCTATAGCATTTCAAGGAATAAATTCCTACCAGGTACCCAGTTACTTCACCTGGGTGGAGTGAGGCAAATGTAGATCAATGTCTTGCCAAAGATTATGTTTCTTGATAATGTGACACACTAAAGGTTACATTTAAAATTATTCATCGAAGGCCCTAATTTAACCAGTTAACCTTCTATTCTTGAGTAACGGAAACACCCCATAAACATCAAATTTATAAAGGGTATGAATAATTTAGTTGTTAACTGTACATGTAAACACAAGAGGATCAGCTGCCGACAGACGATAATGGTGCTTAACACTGATTTTCTGATATGCTATAAAAATTGCCCTAAAATAAAGCGGTTTTTGAAAGGCATTTGAAGCAATTTTATAGTAAAGAAATATAATCTCCAAATAGATACTTGTATTTTCCGTCCGGTGTTTGTTGCCCTCCGGTGATAGAGGAGAGGAGGGAGCTGGTCAGCGAACCATCTCAAGAAATTTGGGATGAAATTATAACAGTCAGCATCATCCGGTCAAGTCTGGGAACCATAAAATACAACCCGAAGGAGAAAAAAAGGAGTAATATCGGTGCAGGAAGAAGATGGAGAAGATTAAGACGCATATTAGAAAAAGAAGGAAAGAAGAAGAAAAACGAGCAGAAGAAGAAAAATGAAGATGGAGTAGAAGAAGAGGAAGAGTTGACAGGGAATGAAACATATTGAGACGAAAACTAAAATATGTCTAAGAACAGACAAATAAAGATACTTCGGAAGATCAAATACACCAAGAGTATGAGTTATAAGATGGGGGGGGGGGGGGTAGGAAAGGAATAGATATCGAGTGTCTGGAAAATGATTAAAGCCTATCTGCACTAGTTTGGCCAGGAGAGATTATACCTCCCTGCGTGGTCACTGGCAGGTGGTTACCTCATAAAATCAGCTCTTAATCAACATAAGAAAAAGGGGACCATGGGGGACCATGGGGGGTCAACGGGTACCGCTTAGGCATTGTTGGCTATATAGAGGGCGCAAGTAGCTACAAGTAGTGCAGTCCTGCTTTAAATAACGGATAACTCAAAGTACTTTAAGATCAGGAGTGTAACACAAGGAAGGAAACAAAGAGAACGACCGAAATGGAGAGAAGATATCTTGTGTCAGTCCAGTCCAAGAAGATGTTTACAGCGTTCGATTCCAAGTGAGAGGGGTCGGGAGGCGCGTCCGAGTCGCTATGCTGCTATGTCGGGTAAACAAGCAAAGCGACCGGAAGCGCCCTCCGAACTCTTCCCAGGTCATCGGTCATCGCTTTAACAAATATTAATGATATATTTGGGTGCTAACAATGGGATATATCGGTTATTTGGTGTTCATTTTTTTTCTCAATGAGTTATGGTTATTTTCAATTTGGGCGATGGTATACGTTACATTTTTCATGTGCTTTTGAAACACTGCCGTTACATTATGCCAAGGCAAAGTGCTTTTTCATTAAAGTTACTAAGAAAGCAATATTTAGAAGAGACATATCCTAAACTCCAACCCTAGCTTTGGGAGAATACCTGTACATGTACACTGTAGAATATCGGTTAAAAGGCCCAGGTATAAAAAAAAATAATAATAATAATTTCGTTAGGCAGCTTTATGGAGGCAAACGGTATTTGTTTTTACATGGATGTCATTTTCAATTATTTTGTTTACCGAAAATTCATATTTTTATCAAAACGCCCAATATTAGTTTGTCCTACAACGACGTTCTTCTCTTGACCTATCCATAATGATGTGTCCAATAAACATATATTCTAAGAACCTCAGGCAATTGATTTGAATCGTTCCGTATCTTGCGATATCTATTTTTTTTAAATTGTATTATGTCATTACTGTATCAACATTATAGTGTTGTTGTTTTTTTCTCTATTTTTTTTTCTTCATAAAAACCATTCACAATTTCCCTTCCACCAGCAAGATATGTAACCTTTCTGAACACAAAATTGAGATCTTTACCTCGACCTAAATCGAAGTAGAGTAGCTTACTAACTTACTAAGACCTATCAAAGCAGACAGATGTTTCAATAATCCATGCAAATCGGAAATCAAATATGAAGACAAAGACAGGATAATGGAAATCCTTTCGAAAACCCTGCCAAGATCTTTCTATTTCATTTTCGATAATACTACGATGTTTTCAGAACCGCTTAGTATGGATATAAGTTCGTGGTATCTATGAATGTAAAAATAGACCATGGTCTTAAACTACAGAATCTGGCGTACAGTTTCAGTAAAAATCGAAATGATCAGATTAATTAACGTTTCATACAAAATGATTTTGTTTGAATTGGGACAGAATTAATCTTTATCAATAGAAAATTAGCTACTGATAAATACCCAAGCATCGTTGAAACCTATTGTATTTTTATTTTCTCGTTCTCAAATTCACACTTGTCCTCAGAATAGTAGATAAATAGAGAAATATCCGTACTTTTTATCATTATTAATAATATTATCATTAAAAACAACGTTCATAACCCGAAGAGATATACATTTTAAGGCTATTTCTTAATATCATTTCCTAATAATGTATGATTATGTGTCCCTCTTTAATTCGATGCGTTCTTAAATTAATTATTGTACAGAGAACGCATCAAATAAATAAAAGAAAAAGAATCGGAGTAGGAGAAAATGATGAACAATACAAAAGTGACTACTTCAAGAATTAGAGAAATCGGTTAAAACCCAAGGATGAAAAGTTTGGTGGAAACATAATTATGAGCGATCTGATGCTGTTACGTAATGAATTTAACCGTTACTTCATCTATTCTTGCAGGTAAGAGAGGATTCGAAGCTGAGGAAGAACAGGATAACAACAGTGAGAAGAACTCATCAGTAAGAAGTCATTTGATATCTTATTCATTTTATCCTCTCCTCTTCTCTTCTCTTCACTATTCTTCTCTTCTCTTCTCTTCTCTTCTCTTCTCTTCTCTTTTCTTTTCTTCTCTTTTCTTCTCTTTTCTTCTCTTTTCTTCTCTTCTCTTCTCTTTTCTTCTCTTCTCTTCTCTCCTTTCCTCTTCTCTTCTCTTATCTTCTCTCCTCTTTTCTTCTTCTATTCTCTTCTCTCCTTTTCTCTTCTTCTCTTCTCTTCTCTTCTCTTTCTCTCTTCTCTCATCCTCTCTTCCTCTCTTAAATTCGATTCTCTCCTCTTTTCTTCTCCTCTCTTTTCTTTTCTCCTATTCTCTTCCCCTCTCTTCTCTCCGATTATCTCCTCTTTTCTCCTCTTCTCTTCTCTTCGTATTACAATATAATCTTTAAATATCTGATTGACAGTATATACAGTTATTTCAAAACAAGTTATCATAAGCAGTGACTACATACCTTAAAACCTTTCCACCATTCACCTAACCAATTTTCACCACTTTCTTAATATCACTCAATGGTTTACCCCGTTGATTTATTTAACTCTAAGAAATGAAATTACCTAGCGAAAACTGTGTAATGTAATTCAAAGCTCACGCTTGCCTTCCTGAAAAAATACGAATTTTGAAATTATGTGACTCGAGGGAGACATACTTGTCATTGTTTTTCTGTTTCCAATTCTTAATATATGAATCTTCCTGTAGGCAAAATATTACAGGCGTAGATATGTCCCGTATTTTGTCTTTTTATGCGAGAAATAGGAGAGATATGAAAAGCGCAAGTCGTTGTTACTCCTTGGCTGACGACCTTTTTAAAGATGTTATTCAACACTCTTCGTAAATTTAATATTGCTGGATTGTGCATAAATCTAACAAAAAGGATTCATTTTCAATAACAATTTTTTTCGTTGATTGGGTTGACATAGAAATTTGCCCCATTAAATTTCCTTGTTTACTCAATATGTTTCCTAAATACACAAGGGGAAATCTGCCATAAGTTCATTGTGAAAATGTGTTATATTTTATCTATGGTTATTTGTATTCGTTCTCTTGATGTCCATAACACTATGAATAGATGTTTCATATTATAAAATAAATGTAGCACTATTTAAGATACCAATAGTTACCCTATCCAACAGGGGTGCTGCTATCAAACCCCCCCCCTCCCCCTCCCCCCCCCCTCCCCCCCCAAAAAAAAAAATTTTATATATATATATATATTCAAGACGGTACACACAAGAAATGCAGGAAACTCCTTTACCTTAGTGGTAAAGTCAGAGATTGAAATTATCATCAAGAGTTTACTATGCGTCCCTTTTAAATGTTGATGTCAAATCTTCACTTTATTCGAGCTTTTCTTCGGGGAAAATGCACTTGTTTGGCATTACACGATCCAAATATACCTCCCCAAGACCGGGAAGGGGGGCGTATATCACCTGAACACAATGCTGGTCAAAGATGGTCAAAATTTTCTTATTTAGATTTCTATCTTCAAGAGAGAGAGAGAGAGAGAGAGAGAGAGAGAGAGGGTCTCATTTTTAGGTGATTACGAATATAAATTTATATTCGTGTCATATGTTATCCAATGCATATCTAAATGATGAATTTTTAGATGTTGTTATTTGTGGACAAATTGGCCTAGGTGACAAGAAGAAAGGTCAGCTGTGTCCAAATGTAGGCTTTTTCAAAACTTGGTAGTAAACGGGAAAAAAAAGAACATTTGAGAAAATTTCCACGGCATTATGGAACAGAGCACGATGTACGTGAGCAGTAAATCAGTTAGAGTAATTACTTAAAGTACTTTCTTTTGAATCCAAGTATCCGTGCCATATACCTCTGGCCTTTCTTCGAGCATTATTCCATTACGGATGTATAGTAATTGAGTGTAGAATATAACCTGAATAGGATACGAAAAATAAGGGAATAGTCGCAATTTTAATTGTACTTTTTTAACATGCATGGAAGGGCGCACGCACTGCCAAATAGCAGGGTAATGATTTAGCACTACTTCGAAAAATCGTCACACTTGCTATGTGTCACAACAACACAACTAAAATCATCTTTTCCAATTATTACAACGCCAACCTATTTCTAATTTGTTTAGCAAAAAAGAAAATTAAAAACACATTTCAGCATCCAAATCAGAGTTTTTTAAGGTAATTAACATAGCTAATTGTGGATTACATGGCATTTGTAAAAATGTATCTGCACGATTTTGTTTTGAATCCAACTATCATTTCCAAATATACATTGTAACAATTAGATTACCACTTCAAACGTCCCCCATTTTCCACCACCCTCGAATCGCCTATTTGCGTTTACTGGCATTTACTGGCTGCAAATCAAATTTACACATAATCTCTTTACAACAAAACTATTTTGAAACTAGGGAAAAAAGGTTGGTACATTGGTTAGAAGTAATCGGCCTTAAAATTTTGAAAGCAATATTCTCGCATGAACTATAATACTCAGTGTAAGGTTTCAATATGGATAATTCAATTATGGAGAGGAGAGTGAGATTTTTTTTCGTGCTTAGCTTGTCACTTTTTACTGCCAATTGGCGAGAGGAATTAATAAATGGAAAGGTTTGATGCCTCGGATGAAAATAATGTGTTCTCCGAATAAATGAGCGCTATACACTGCACTCAAAAACCCTCTACCAGAGCATCGGGGTCAACAAAGTGAAACATAACATGTAGTCAAACATGTTTTTTTTTAATATTTATATTTGTTCTAGCGAGCATGTTTTCAGAAAGAATATCATATAATGATTTATTATGTTTTAAAAGTTGTCATATATGTGAGCGTATCACAAAGTTCATCATACAAAATTATCAAAGCTTTTTTTCAGATATAGAACAAAATTTAAACTCTTTAACGATTATTAACATCTGTCATCAAATATAAAAGACAAAAAATTGCCACAGTCACAAAGGAAATAAAGCCCCATCGGTGTCAACGTTCCAAAATGATAATGATAATATTAGTCACATTTATATAACGTTTAATTTCCATGTATTCCTGTGAATCTGGATAAATCAAAATAGTTGAATTCAATTGAATATTACGTTTCTAAGCGCATTACATTGTAATCGTTATTACCTTTGTCATTGGATTCAATTGGTAATTCGCACATGATAGTGCACACGCTCCGCTCCCTGGGGAGTCTTCCGGTAAGGGGCCATTTGACAAGCGCACACATGCCAATCCAACCAAATTAACGTTCGCATCCTACCAGACACCCACGTAACTCCTGGGTGGAGGGTGGCAAATGTATAATAATGCCTTGCCAAAGGACATTATTGCTGCGGGACTTAAAGCTTATCTGCCATAGTTTACAGGAGGGATTAGACTGCCCTGCAAGGTCACTGGACAGGTGGTTATCTCATCAACTCAGCTCTCAGTTAACATAAGAAAAAGAGGATCATGGGGACCAATGGTCACCGATTAGGCATTGTTTGTTATATAGAGGGCGCAAGTAGCTACAAGTAGTGCAGTGTGCCTTTAAACCGCAAAACATGTGATACACAGTCCGGTGACGTATTTACTACACAAGACAACGACACCTCTTTAAAATCTATAAAATTTCGCTCGGTCGCTACGCTCCCTCGTATTTCCCTAGTAGCAATGTTATTGTTTCTTATTTTTGTACAAATCTTGTCTGTCATAGGTCCTTGTCTTCAATGATTGGAGAGAAACAGGATGAATTTAACAAGATTAGCATGTTCGATAATAGTAAACAAAGATTAGCTTTTTCAATTAGCCTCAAGAGTCACCCTTGGAAATCGTTTTGCATTCATAAGAATTGGAATAAAAACACCAGTAATTATGTTTCATATAGTTTGATAACTGTGAAATTTGTTCTGATTGGATTTGATTGATTCAGGTGAAGTCCAGCCAATGTGTGATTGATCCTCTGTACTATGCTTTATCTGAGGAAGGCAAGAAACAAGTTATGCAGGTGAGAATTAATAATAATGGACCTTTGATTATTTAATTGTTCGAAATTGCTTGAATGATTTAGACGAGATTTTCTTATTTTTTTCCTTCTTTTTACTTTGATATTCCAGTACTTCAAAATTAATGTATACTAGGAATCGTTACAGAGAATTTCCTGACCTTAGATTCAATGGTTGATGTAAATGTATCCTACAATATTCTACTCTTATTTATTTGATATTGTACCGTTTCCACGCTTCCCTTCTTTACAGTATCTCTCTCTTTCTCTCTTTCTCTCTCTCTTCTCTCTCTCTTCTCTTCTCTCCTCTCCCTGCCTGCCTCCCTCCCTCCCTCCCTCCCTCCCTAATTCCTCCCCTCTCTCTCTCCCCGACATCTTTCTGACCCTTTTTCTTTAAGTAAGAACAAGAGCCACATGAACTTATTTGCTGTCGTTTCAGGAATTTTCATCGGCGCCATTTGGTGTTTAAAATTTGTTAACTTAATTTCTTTAGGTTTCTGCCAACTCTTAATTCCTACATTTTTAACCATTGGTGACAAATTTCATCACGTGACAACAGCTGAAACCCTTTTGACGCGTATTTTAATTTGATCAAAGCCGATTAGAAATTGTAAGAAAAAGCACGTAACTGCCAAGGTCATTCGGATTATAAAGATCTTGGGTTCAAAATTCGACACACGTCATTAATAACCTCTAAAATATCGCCAGTTATTACACATCATGTGATATGTGAGGAAGGATTGTAGCAATCGGTTCAAGTCTGCTCGAGTTCATACATAATTACCTTGGCAAGACATTGAATGTTAAACATTAACATAGTGAGTATTGTCGAACATGTCAATTAGACATGAATCCTTCGTCTTGATTTAAGACATTATTCCAGATGAAATCTCATCACATTTAGAAACTCTTTAAAATCCAGATCAATCACATATCCTTGCATTTACTTTATGTTTTTCTTCTCATGCTTAAAATTGTCTCTTTACGAATCTGCTTGAATGCACGAACTTTGTACGTTTATCGTCCGAGGCCACTGTAAGTCAGGAATTTGATGTACCTAATGGATCAAAGCTGATCTTATGTCAGCCACAATCTATACTCTCATCTCATCCATATTCCAACTTGGATACACATCCACATGTCGCCACAGGGTGCATTTACCTTTCGACTTCTATCTTGAGATTTTTCCTTTAATGTGCGTAACGCTAGGTCAGATATTCTCTGGTCGTATTATGTTCCTCGTCACATTCCGGCATGGGAAAATTATCGACGAGAAAATAAATTGTTATACAGAGGGAATGTGACAAGATTGGGGGCGGGGTGAGAGAGAGAGAGAGAGAGAGAGAGGGACGCAATCATGCACACACACACCCACACACCCACACACACACGCACACACATTCACTCACACCAACTACCCGCACCCTCATAAGCCCACACATAATTACCCTCACACACGCGTCCTCGAGGACATATAGAGGTGGCTAGAAACAGTAATGATATAACCATAATTATAGTGTACACATTCTATTGCATACTCTAGAGATACATGCATTGTAATTTAAATGAAAGCAATTGGTTTAGATAATGTGCAATAATTGAGAACTGGCTACTACATAGATATGATATCTACTAATAAAATATAAATTGTACATAATGTGTCTCCCAACTTAAATCTTTCTAATTTATATCTCTCTTTTAAATGCGTTTCAACCTTTCTTTCAATGTTTTTTTGTAATGATAATGCAGCTATACAAAGAACAACTATGGCTGCCAATTTGTCGTGGCTTCGAAATGTTTGGTAGAAATTATGTTATAATGAATTTTTTATATTCAGATCAGGCTCCTCCTTTTCCATTTAAATCTGAATTTAGTGAGGAATATTATAAAACATAACACTTGCAATAACATGTAATGCATAAAGATCGCAAAAAGAAGTTTTCCCGTTAAAACCAGCAACAATGTTCAACCTTAAAGGGGTGTTTCTTTTGTAATAATTGTGAACAACAAAATCTAACAAACTACTTCAAAGAAAAACCTGCAATGACTGCTCATTCTGTAAAAGTATTCAGATCTCTTGCATACCTGCAGTGTATTTTGCTAATGCATGTCTGGCTTGAAAATAAAAATATGTATACATTATGTATCCTGGGTTTTTCAATATTAGAATACGGTACTTCACCACAATTCCTTGGGGGATTAACCAATCATAAATGTAGCCATTCCATTTATTCTTTCTATAAATGCGGTGGAAATTATAATTCTGGGCCCAGCTTAAAATCGTGTGGATTTATAACAGAAGTATGTAAAATTCATCACCACGACCACCACGACCATCATCATCACCATCAATCTGAATCATCGAAGTTTTATTCCAACCCCAGATTCCTACCAGATATCTCTAAGCCCGGACACATGTGACACTGTATTTGTTCTTTTTAGCTGCATTGTCTAGACTTATGAAACGATTTGATTGATAGAAAGGTTGAATCTCATTTGAAAGAAAGGTAAGAGTTAGAATGATTCGTTTAAAGGTTATACCAAATAATGCTCAATGAGTTTTCAGCGTTTGAGAAAAGAGGGGAATCAATTTCGAATTAGCAAAAAAGCACTGCTTTAAAATTCGTTTACCTTATTGCGGTTGATCTAATTTGAAAGCAGACTGCATCCACTCCGAGCGAACATTTCTTAAATCTTCATTTGAAGCTAGGGTGTAGATTCCACGTCCCTGAACTTATAGTCATACGTAATAATAGACAATAATTGTCTTGAAATCGTAATGGGAGGACGGCAAACTGGCGTTTAATTCAAGAAATCGCGTGCCGATATCGATATTATCGTGCGGTGAAGTTATTGACTGCCATACAAGCCGATCTGAATATTGTCAGGGGGTTATCTATTATCAATTTTCCATGAATGGTGATATTTCAAGATATTATGTTTCATTGTTTGGCTTTAACTCTCATACACATGAATCTAATGTTAATAAAAACGTTTCATTCGTGATGATATTGCATTATGACTGCCTGGGATGTCATTTTGTAATGCTGGACGAAAATTAATTGCCAGAAATATGAGATCGTGTGCAATTAAAAAACCCTCATGGCTTTAAATCAATCAAGCGAATACTTGGTGTTATGAATGTGAAGTAGGCTGTTTGATCATTAAGGTATACTCAAAGGTCTGTAATTTCCCGTCCCATTGTTCTGCTTTTGTTCATCAGTTTCATGTTAAATATCTAAAAACTTGCTGAATGCTTAATAGATTCCTAGGAAACATTCTACAAGGTCAAAAGCCTATTAATACCACCGCTTGTTTTATATCTCATGTACTTGTTTCTATTTTTTCTTCCGCAGGTCTTGACGGAATGGCTCTGATGAGAAACTGATATGTTTCCGTGTTTTTATCCTTTCAAAATAAGTCATCAGTTAAGTATAACATCACATTTTGTAGATGATGCCGAATGTTGAATAACAATTACATTTTAAAGGTGAATTTTTTTCAGTACTCGAATTAGCTTATTAATGCATTTCTTTTAAAGCCCCACTGTCCTACTTGTAGCTACATGCTCCCTCTAAATAGAAAACCTCCCCAATCGGTGCCTGTTGGTCCCCCATGATCCTCTTCTTCTAATGTTAGTTGAGAGCTGAGTTGATGTGAGCCACCTGTCAGTGACCTGGCTGGGTGGTCTAATTCCTTCTGGCCCAGTAGTATTGATGGTCTTTAAGAGAAGGCCAACTGTGACAAATGTGATATTCAAATAATGTTTAATCAGTTCGAGTGACTTCCAAAATGAGGAGGGGGCACCAACAAAATAGGGAACTTTCTAGAAAAAGTGGGCACCTACAAAGGGAAATCTCAAAGCGAAAATATACAATTTGGGGGACATGGTATGTACCCATACATTGTGATTACATTCTCTGGGATGCTTTCAATATCTGTTTCTCTTTATACGTCATAAAATATATTGTTTAAGCATAAAAGGGGCACGTATCATTGTTAAAAGGGAAATAATTAGAGGTGAAAAGGGCACTTATCGCACCTGAAAAGGGGCACTGACCAGATATGAAATGGCGTACTTGTGAGAATGAAAAAGGGCTATAAAAGGAAAATGTGCATTTGTTTAAAGAAAAGGGACACCGATACATTTTGAGGAGACTTTTATGAGAAGTTGAAAGTGGTTCTTATTAAAATTAAAAAGTTAAAATAAACGGAGCACTTATAAGAGATAAACGGGGTAATTATGAGAAAGGGAAGGGGTACTTATGAGAATGAAAAGGGAAAGTCTTCATAGGGGAAAAGGGGCATTCATGAAAAGGGGAAGGAGCTCTTTTTGTATGGGGGCACTTATCATACGGAAAAGGGACACGTGTAAAATAAAACGTGTGCTTATCGGAGTTAATAAGGGGGAGTTATTTAAATTGTAAGGGACACTTCTTACAAAGGAAAAGGGGCACTTGTCAAATTGAAAGGGTAATTATCAGAGGTAAAGGGAGCACTTATCAAAAGTGAAAAGGGGCACTTCTCGTACCTGAAAAGGGGCACTTACTAGAGATTTAAAAGGGCACTCATGTGAATAGAAAATGGAAACGTATTGCAAGGGAAAATGGGAACTTGTCGCAGGAAAAGGGGCATGTGTCAAAATAAAAGGGGCACTTATTATAGGTGAAAAGTAATAGGGGCACTTTTTCTTTGTAAAAAGGGGCACTTCTTACGAAGTTATAGGGGCACTTTACCTACGTGAAAAGGGGTACTTTTGAGGTACTTCAACAATTGGGGGAACTGTGCCCCCCCCCCCGGAGCGCCGCCTCTGACTCACTTAATAAGAAGATATTTTGAGAGGGACAAGGTAATTTGCTGTTGATGGAATTTTAGGGAAATCAATAAAAAGTTAAGAATTAGATCGTCACTTATGTAAGATTTTAGATCTTTAAACATTCCGCTAAATCTAGCTCAACAGACCCGCCCCTCCTTATTAAATTTCAAAATGCTTTCGATGTTTAAACATGGGGAGTGGCTATTGGGCCGTCGTTGCTGTAAGATCGTAAATTCGCTTTGTTAATCCAAAATGAGTGGTCGAATCAAGCCATTTAAAAAAATTTCTTTGACCTTTCAGTTATGTGTATTTGTTTCATCGTCTCAGTGAGTCTTTAATCATAACAGTGTCATTCGATTTGTATTTTAAGATCTGTACTTGACAGAGCAGCTCATGCACATTCGAGCTCTGTCTATATAACCCCTCAGCCATTTTGGGGATGTCTTATAATAATGTCTTAAGTAATAATATATAATATAATGTCTTAAGTATAATATATTTCATGCTAGCATAACTGATAATTAATTTAGCATATTATCTCCTTAATTTATCTTTATCTCTTAAATATAATGTTTAGTGTTACTGAATACAACTTAAATATACACTAGCTTGAGACAGGTTATTAATAACGTTTTAGATGAATATGTTTGAAATTGTGATAAATCTCTTTATGAGAATAAAATATCCTAATATGATGTTGAATTAGATTTCTTAATATAAAGAGATGACTCTGATTTTCCCAGTAATATAATGGAAAAACACATAGTATGATATAACCTCATGCCCTTGACAGCATCATCTAAAATGCGCCATCATGTTTTGTATATTTGTAAATTGTAAGAAGCATTAAATGTTAAGTCAACTCATAGAACTGATTTAAAAAATAAAAGAATTATCCTATATTACAATCACATCAAATCAGTTGATTTCTTATTTTTGTGCTATTGTTGATTGATTGAATGTACACAACGATTGCTTGTTTCTGTGATTTGGGCATTTTATTATGTCTATAGTTTGGGGTAATTACTCTTCGTTTGACATCTGTTATCAGCGGCCGCCTTTTTTGAAAAGTTACAATAAAAGAGTATTATTTCTACATATACTTCTCCCTTTTGGAGCTATAACAATATTCGTTTTGGTTTTCGTCTCTTGACTGAACTACATCCATACAGTTGAATTGTAAAATACATGTAGATTCTGATATGCATCTGAGTATATATTATAGCTCTTGTCAGTGGTCATTTCACTGAGTCAGTACCTAAATTCAATTTGTTGTTTTTACTTTAGTTCCTGATGGTGATCATATATTAAAACTCGTCATATCTCTGATCGGAGGTTTCTTTTTAGTCCTGTTTGTTCGTATTATATATGGCAACGATGAAACCAAGAAGTGTTCCGTATTTCACATTATTAGCAATCAATTATTATTTGTATTAACAATCGATAGATCCTGATACTATTTTTGTGTGAAGTAAACAAAAACGAAATAAAAGCGCGTCTCCGCTGAATGAACGTGTCTGAAGACGAGTCAGTTCTTAACTCCCCATCAAATTAGTTGGTGATGGAAGTTTCATGGGAAAACTTCACCCTCATTTCACATTCTATCCAAGAGACGGTGTTTTTCTTTTGCTTTTAAGTTTGAGTTTTTGGAACCGAGAAGTGTATGTCTAACGATCGAAACGGTGAGGAGCATTATTATTATTATGAAGATGATAACGTGGAGGAGAAAGAGGAGAAGGGGAGAGGAGAATGAAAGGAGGAGGAGGAGAAAGAGGAGAACAGAAAGAGGAGGAGGATGAGAAAGATAAGGAGGATGGTAATCATGCTGATGAAAACGGTGATGTTATTTGTGTATGTAAATGACGATCAAGATGATAATGAAGATGAAAATGATGATGATAATGACGATCAGGATGATAATGAAGATGAAAATGATGATGATAATGACGATCAAGATGATAATGATAATGATGATGATGATGATGATGATAATGATGATAATGATGATGATAATGATGATGATGATGCTGATGATGATGATGATAATGATGATGATGATGATGATGATGATAATGTAGACTGCCTGATTGAATGACGACTTGGTTGACCAACTTGATTTAATGAATGAATGATTTACTGACTGATTGGTTGATTGATTGATTATTTGATTGATTGAATGAATGAAGATTTACAAAATAAATGAATGATCGATTGCATAATAATTGATTGGATGTTTGGTTGACCGAATGTCTGTCCTGCCACCTCCTTCAGAAGAGATACAATTCTCCCTCACACCTTTACAACATTAAACAGTACCCCTTTTTAAAGGTGACCCTCTCCACAAGTGGTCTAGTGAAAACGATTTTCAGACCCATGACAACCTATTCTTTGACCTTCTACCATGTTAAAGTAGTTGATATGTTCTTTCTCACTTCAATCTTAATGACTTTTCAAATAACGCAACAATACTAGGATGGTGTTTCACAAATGTTTGACTAATATCAGTAACAAATCTGCTCATGACCAATCAGAAGCAAGGATTTCAGTAGCTTATAACAAAAACTGTCATTTGTCACTGATGACAAGTTCTGTGAAACGCCCCTGGACAAACTCGACACAGCGCTATTCAATTACTCAAGCATGCATCTTCAAATATCCAGAAATTTCCACCCACATTCCAAAATTCCTTGCACAAAATGCCCTTTAAACAGTTAAAACGATAGTATTTTCCGTTAACGAGGAAAAATGACTACAATGTCACAGTGTCTTTCTTAATTTACAAAGAAGTACCTTTTAGGAAGCTTAAGGTATCAATTGCCCTTTTTATTTCAAAAGACCATAATGTGGAACTTTTAAAATCCCCGGCTAGTGCTACGTACTTTACCAAAGGGCAATCAGGTTGAAATGAAGGCACTATTAAGTGCTACGACAAAACATCCCCCCTCGAAAAAGCTTTGTCAAGCCACTCATTCTCATTTGCCACTAACTTAATGCAACTAAAGGGAAACATTCTAAAATCAAGCAGATAGGACCACGCGTATTAACGGTGGATGGCAACGTCTTCCTGGTCGAATTTATCTTACAATCATCAGCTTATTAAGCATCTCTCAAGACAGTGTTGGGTGTCCCAAAAATTTGATGGAACAATTTCAATTATATTGTATAATGAAGTGGAAGTGGGCATCATATAACATTAACTTCTGCAAGGATTTGTAAAATAATTGTGTTTGACGAAAAATATTGATGAAAGTTTACACAATTGGGTTTTTCTGTTGTACGCAGAATACTTAATTTTGCATTCTTTCATTAATATTTGTCTTTAGACACATTTGTTTTGAAAACCCTTACACAAGTGAGTGTTAAATGACATCCTCTTTCACGTCATTATAACTTTGAAGTGAAATGCTGAAATGAGATTTTTGGGGAAAATTGGGGCTCCTAAATTTAGGGGGGGGGGGGCTTTAAAACCCAACAAGTATGGTTTTCTAGAATTACAAAAATGCAATGTTGCATGGTGTACTCAAACCATCGTCAGATCAACGTGTGTATTTTGAAACCTAATCAAATTTATTTAAATTAAATTGAATGGTTTATTGAAAATACTGAAAATGACAGCTCAAAGGCTGAATTACATGATAAATAAACTGAAGTAACATGAAAGGAGTGCTCGGTATGTCGCTCCACTCGCTCACATTATGGAGCATTGAACCACTTCACACACACACATAAAGTATGATGAGCAAGCAATTATGACGTCACAAGAACACTTGTGACTTAGCAAATGGTCCTTGATAATGTAATAATTAGGACAGAGGGGTAT